ATCTCGTGATTTCAAAGCTCTATTATGCCAGCTTCCGTTTTGGCTATCGCTTTAACACGTGCGCGCTGACCCAGCAAACATTTTCATGGAATGAGTAAACGACCCGTTCTTTTACCAAGCGGGCTTTTGCTGCGCTAACGGGCACACGTACCCGCACGCATGGTCATGACGCTGCCAGATATGTAAAACATGAGTATAGATAGTGAACTCTTCATGCTCCTTTGTCTTAAAAAAATATCACAATATTAGATGACCAAGTGTGATGCTACTCTTGTTCTGTGACTGCATATATTAGTACAGCAGTTTTGTTTCTTGGCTTGTGTTCCTTGCGAGTGAAAGATTCTAGTATCACTGAGGTCAATACAAATAATGTAATGACAGAGTATATTTGAAAGTAATCGAATTACAATTCTAAGCATTTTGTATTGTACTAAAGGTATTTTGCATAGAAAGTAAACCGAGTAGGACTCTAAATACGTTCTCAAGCACGTATTTAGGAACGTATGTTAAATGCAATGGACCTTTTTCCAGTAAGCTTCTGCGAATGCGTATATCCCCTCCTCTGCCCTTGCTTGAGGCTGTCGGCATTTTCGCAGGGCAAAGTTCCGGTCGACGAACACATGTAGCACCTAGCATTGCGTGTATTTCTTCTTTTTTGGTGATTCTTGATGGAGCATACGCCGGGATAGGGCATAAAAGGCAACCAAGGTCAATACCACAGCACGATGCCAATGACGGGCGTAGGCAAGTTATCCTGCCCTTTATCTGTAGTTCGAAAAGAATTCCGCAGATGGTGCTCGTTACTGGAAAAAGGTCCATTGTCGAGCATCTTGTACAACACTTCTCCAAATCAACATTCAAAAGTAAAACGTGTTGATCCCGATCACCCATTGTTAGACCCGAAATCTATAAAAAGCGATTTAGGAGCCTGCCAAAACGACGATTGGAAATCAAACACTTTCACAACATATCTAATGCCTCTTTTCCTATGCCATCGCTCGTTCAATTAATCCCTAAGGTTCACAACTTACAAAACACCCATTAGATTTTTTTTTCTCCACGGAATGGCAACGAAAAAAGGCGTTACACCCTTGATTGTCACGAACCCAAATTAGTCTTCGCACAGTGCTCATGGCCAATCTGTGAGCCGCACTTAACTATCGTCACATTCTGAAAATCGCCATATGGATATCAACTATGCGACCGCCATGTATGCGCGGAAAAGGTATCCTTATAGGGCGTTACACAGGAGAACGTCCCGAGGAACAAAATGTATTCATGATAATAGTAAAGATTTAATTTAGACGCGTGATGTGAGTCCTACGCTATTACAATCCCCTGAAATATTACGTTTCTCCATTCTAGTGGAAAGAGATTAAAGAGTTTGCGATGTGAGTCCATACGACTGGTTGCAAAAACAAAATTGTCTGAAGGAACAAAAAGTGCACGTCCCTATGATTCGAATTTATATTGATTGTTTTTATTATTGGTGTATATTGTTATCCCGGAGAATATTACGATATACGCAGTATTATGACTGGAATTTATATTTTACGACGTTGTACGGAGAGCAGATGAGAGAAGGTGCAAAGTGCTCATGGTCAAGAAAGCTGAGGACTGGTCTCGCGCTAAACATCTGGGGTGGTTAATTCTCCGCTCGAGTCTCTAAATGGCAAATGAGCACTGAACTCCCGCGTCTGTTTGATCACCTTTGTCTCTACAACAATAAGCTCGAAAAGCGAATGCGTTTCGACAAGACCGAGTAAGAAGGCGAGGGTTGTCCTTCTCCCCCTCTTCCCAGGACCATATGTGGCTTTCACCCTTCACACTCGGCCTTTAACATAGAACAACGAAATAGGGACTGATCAGAGAGATATTATACCGGAAGAATTAGAGTGCTCCCAGCTGAACTTGCTGTGCTTCTAGTTGCAGCCTTTCGAACAGCCAATAGTGAGTTTCCCGCATTTACTATAGCCCTTTCTTTTTATTTGTTATTGAAAAATTGCTACGTTAGCGAATTAAAACTCGTTTATACTCTGGATTAACTTTAACGGATGTTTTGTTTTAAAGAAATAGCTAATATACGCCAGTGTTTTTAATTTCTTAGCCCTATGACAGTGCATTCTTACGTATTCCGTTTTATAAAGAAGGAAAGCAGCGTGACATATGCTTAGGTGCCATTTTTGAAACACCCAATCATTATTAAAATTATCATTGTTCTATGGGCTTTAATGAGCATAGATGGTCAAATATTCTAGTTATTATAATGTACTTAGGCCGCTGATTTATATTAACATGAAACGTTTTTTGGCTAGCAGTTCTGAGTTTCGTGAAGCCCAGATAAAAGCGTGACCGCGATGCCCAACACTGATTGGTTGGCGGTGGAAGAGGTGTTGCGGGTGCTAGTCACTGATTGGTTAGCGAAGATGGGATGTGACCAGATGGGTAGGCGAGGAGGAGCTGGACCACCCATACGCACTGAAGGAGAGGAGCTCGAGAGTATGGAAGGCTCTGGAAGATCGCCAGGTTTATCAGCCGTAATAGCGGTAGTATCGCTTCATTCTAGGAATACCGATCAAGTGTACGCACGGTAAGCGTTAAACTATCTGATGAAGAGCACGGCAAACGTAGGCGTCTGGCGTCTGAAATCTCAGAGTATGCTAAGCGTTTGCAACGTTAGAACGTTTAACGTATGCAACAGTATTGCCTAACAATCAGCCATCGATTTTTTTTTTCTGTTTGGATATTGTAATAAAATATGGGGTGGAACTCAGTGTTGTGCCCGTTACCGAAAAAAAGTAACGAAATAGCGTTACTCGTTAGCTTGGTAAAAAGTAACGCGTTATCGAGCTACGTTACCCTTTTACAAACGTAACGATATACCGTTACCGTTACTTTTCAAAAATAACGAACGTTACTTTTACGATACTTTTACGTTACTTTTCCGTTCGAGTACATATGTTTGGCAGAGATGTATGGTAAGCCTCCTTAACAAGCTTGGATAAAGATAAAAATTTACAGAGTGGTTTCATAATGTTTTGATGCGCGAAGCAGCTTAATTTTCGGCATGCAGATCAGGCATTGAAACTGTAAATTACCTGATTCTGCCTCCTTTAGTTGATACATTTCATTCAGACCTGCTGGCCATGGCGACGGACTTTCGTTAATCATGGCCATCTCACGCGCAGAATGAGTCGGAGATGTTAGTCAATCAAATTTTATAAACTACAGCATGCGAACGAGGACTGCTGGAACACAACCAGCCAACCAACACCCCTCATCTGTACGCCGGTTTTAGTAACAGTCCGGTTCATACAATTACCAGAGACTGATTTACTTCACTATCTGAAACAGGACACCGGTTATCAGCACATTGGCTATAATCACTTGCTGCCTTTTACCAGCAATAGCTCTTAGCTTTTCTGTGAAAAAAAAAAAGGTTTCGTGTTTGTACGTTTTCTTTCCAGGTTTCAAATTTTTTTTTTAAATTATTTTATCATGACCTTAGGGGATTAAAGACTAATCAAGCGAAAGATTCTTCTGTGTACAAAAGTGGGTCAGGAACTTTCAGGCAGCGAAGGGGAGAGCGAGGGTAAACATAATCCACAAAGGGTGTTTCTTTTTTTTTTTTTTTTTTGAAACTAGAGAAATGAGCAAATCGCTTCGCCACTAGTTGTCAACTGTTGTAAACGGATGTCTCTCCACGGCTCCCCCCCCCCCCCCCCCCTTTCCCGCTGTTCACTTCTGCTGCACAAAGCAGGGGGGGGGGGGGGAAGAGGAGGGAGTGGAGGAGGCTGTAACACAGTCGTTCGTTCAAGCCTTGTAAGTGGTGACACTATGAAAAAAAAAAAGGAAAAGGAGGATGAACGGAATTGGCTGGTAGCCGAAGGTTTTCTTCGCCTTCCAGAAGTGAGTTTTTTTTTTTTTTTTTTTTTTTTAACTTTACTGTGACGGATGCTGGTTCCGTGCAGCGATAAGCTGGTGCAGAAGCTCGTGCAGGATTTCACCAGTTTTGGTCAAAAGTAATGAGTAACGAGTAACGAAATTTGACAGCCGATACCGTAAAAAAGTAACGGAAATACTTTACTCGTTAGTCATTCAGAATACTAACGAGTACGTTACTGCGTTAGCGAAAAATGTAACGCGTTATCAGTAACGTCGTTACTAGTAACGCGTTACCTCCAACACTGGGAACTCTATATATTTCCGAGTGAGCTGATGCTGTAAACATGAAAATATTCTACGCTATAGGCCTCGATGGCACTCTTTTGGCGCTGATAAAAAAAAGGGAAAGAACAGGAGATTTCGGGTTCATGCCAGCTGGTGGTCTAGACAGACGTTCCTGAAAACTTACGAGCGAAATTATGTACTTTTTTCTATTCATAAAAATTCAAACATTGTTCTTTTTTTATTGCCTACTTCCCTTTGTAATGCCTCTAGGGCCCTGAGGATGAAATAAGTATAAATGTATTTCCTTTGATACCACAAACATTATACGAATTGCTTGTTTCGGTTGTCCTGTGCCTTAAAAAGTTCTGGTTGTCACTGCGCAGAATACATCTGTAAAGGGAATGACGCGAAACATTCCGGAAATAAAATCAGGAATTATATAGTTTGTTGTTGATCTTTACGTGGCAGTTGTCTTAATCTTCAAACGCCAGCGTATTTTGTTTTAGGTTTGAGGGAATTTTTGTTACGGAAGCAAGTGTAAATGTTCTTTTAGCAATGTTTGTTTTGATAACTCTTACGAATTATATTTAGCTAAGAAACTATCTTCCAGCCGCTTCTATCTCGTAAATTCTGATGTCTGTAATACCTAATAGAATAACAGCTTGAACTTGCAATCAAAGCTGCTTTCGTCCGAGTCTGTTCCTAAGATTCAGTTACCTCGTTGACAACATTAGACTGCACATAATAATGACTAAAGGGTAATTGCCAAAGCATTCATTTTTTCTAGGTGATACATCGTATTATTTGTGATACTGATTGATATTCATCATAACATCAGTATTGCAATGCGACACTATATCTGGATTTTGTGCATCGCAGTTCAACTTTCCATTTGCGGTAAGCACTGTTTGTCTAATTACAGTTGACAAATGCTGATATGAAGCATATATAGGGTTTGATGTCTTCGGAGTAAACCGAAAGATGCCACTAAACATGTGCCGAGTCAGTTTTTTGGGAATTCGGTTTAAAGGCCCGTTTACAGACTTGTGACTTCTTGGTATCGAGTGTCTTCAAGCCTCTTAAAATTTCTTACGATTAGAAAACCAAAGTGTCGAACCGGAGTCGAACCGAACCGAAAACCGAAACCGAGCCATTATTTTTAGCCGAACCGTAACTGAACCGAACCGAAATCTTCGCCGCCACCTTAAAACCGGAATGGAACCGGAAAAAATACAACGGTAACAGGTTCAAACCGGTTCACATAACAAATTTTTAAGAAAGAAAAATTGGCAGCTGCATACTTTATAGTGATCAAATTGTCATATACAGAATTGCTATCTATGAGAACTTGTGGGTTTTCGTGGCGATTTTTTATTGGCTCTATGAAATGATGTGTCACGTGGTTCTGTACATGACGTCATGGTGTCAGGACATGTTGTCAAGTAATGTCAGGTTATGTGACTCACTGCGTCAGGTCTACTTAAATTGAGATCGTCTCTATATGACGATCTCAATTTAAGATGACGTCACATGGCATCACGACTTCGTGACGTCACATGGCATCACGACTTCTCACCCCGAGTCACGTGACCCCGTGACGTACTTGACTGTCATGAGCCCGACTCGAGTGCTCCGGTTCATGACAATCTGCATCACCAAACATTCGGGTTCGTGTTCAATCAAAGATGAGCATAAGCGAACTCCAACAATGTTTAAAGCTCAACCCATGCTTTCTTCTTTGAAAACCCCAGCGAATGGCTAAGATTAACAATGACGGTTGATAATTAGCGTCAGATCACGTGGCCGCTCGGTCTAATAGAGAGTTGAGGAGGGAAGAGCCATTTCTTTCCTTTAGGTTTCCTGCGTCTGTCATATTGAGCGGAAAGCAAAACTTATGGGTGTATTTTTGAGTTATCAACGTCCCGGATTACCTCTTAGCGGTATTTACTAAAAGGAAAAATATTGTTGCACGGTCCATTTTGCGCCTTCAGATCTATTATGTGAGCACACAATGATTTTTGGCACACCCCGCGACCCGGCAATTCACGCACAGCAAAACGGAGAACAAGACAGCACGTTTCTGCAGACTCAACAGCTGGTGTATTTTCGAGTATCGTCCTCCCGTGTCGACCTCAAGCCGTTATGTGAACTTCATACAGTCAAATATATTGATGATAATAAAAATATATTTATTAACTTAATATGTAACAACATAAATAAAGGGACGATCGCCTTAAAACTATACATTATAAGTAAATGCACCGCGAAATTATCTGAAATACTATGTTTTTCAAATCTTTTTCCGGCGTCTTAATCCGTGATAGGCACATCTAATAATGATAAAAAAAGCCCCAAAACGAACATTGGAGTTTGAACTTGATTGCAATAATTGTGGTTTCCTTCACATATTTAGCTTCTCAAACATATACAAATTTGTTATTGCCTTTTTTTTATGTGATGAACAACAATTTTATATATCTGTAAGCTGGACAAAAAGAAAGTACACAGGCGAGTGTGCCAGAACAATGACGATTACGCATGCAGACCGTCAGAAAGTGACCAATTAAGTAGCTGCAATGTCAAGTAAGGTATTAAAAATACTTAGTTATATTTAACAAAAACTCACCAATGAACAAGGGTAATGCTAATTTGCAAATTCAATTTACCGGCATCTTGTCAAGAACAAACCTCAAACGCCAAGCTAGGCCGGAAAACTTTAATCGGGTTCGCGCTATTTTTGGACAGGTTTGATCCGAGCACGAAGGTGCGTATAGATTAAAGTGAACAATTTTGATCAATTTTTCTGCATGGTTATTCGCCCGCATCGAAGTTATGAGTCTAAACAATGTTGGTCAGGAAAACAAGCATTGTGATTGCCGCTCAGTCTTTCTATAAACGGTAGACTTAAAGGGCTTAATTGTTCTAAAACTTTAGTGACATTGTGAAAATATTATTGTTGCGTGGTCATCATATATATTGTGAAACCTATTTAATAAACTAGATTTCACAATATAAATGGCGAGGTGGTGCCACTTCTACAATCTTACGCACTGTAATTAATTCCTAAGCCTTAAAATAATGTATCTACTTTCTACAGAATTCTGGTAGATAATAGTGTATAGAGGTTATAGATATTCTAAAGAAAACGTATCGACTTTTCTTTTCACTGTCTATAACTGTTTGGCCGCTTTTTTGTAGACATTCTACAGCGCCCCGTGTATAGAGACTCCATAGAAATTGTTTGAAAAACAAATATCGATTTTAAGAACGTTTCTATTTCCTTTCTAACGACAATAAATAAAAATTTCGAGAAAAAGAAATAATTCTGAATATTATTTCTTAGTTTATCACGATACCTCCCTGGAAATATGCACTCACCACATGCTACGTGCGCATACGCAGATATCACAAATAAACACGCCACGCAGCACTTATAATACTAGTAAATCAGTAGTTTTGACCCTACGCTGGAAAGGGGATCCCTTGAACTAGAATGACCCTCAAGATAAAAAGATTGCAAATCTGTTAATTTTTTTCGCACATAATTTTATGAAGTCTGTTTATAGGGGTGGTGTGCTGTCTATAAAGCTATGCAAAAGGCGATAATTTTTTTTTTAACCCAGTCGAAAAAAGGTTTTCCGCAAGAAGGCTCTAACTGGGTGTGATATGTCGCTTCTCCGCACTGCATCTCATTATTCTATCGATTCTAGTCCATAATCATTCCATATAAACGTGGTGACAGAAAGCTTATTGAGGTGGGGTGATCGAAATTGTATAGAATTTCTACCGTCTCTACTCTGTAGACTTTGGTTGAAAGAAAGTCTGTATAAAGTCTGGATCATTTTCGATACGACGTGACTGGATAGGAAGTTGAAAGGGTCGTTAAAATGTGGATAAGCTATAGTATATAGACTGCTTGAAACATTTTGTAAGGGAAGTATAAGAGCACAACTAGGCTTCAAGTTTTAACACTGAGACGGAAAGTTGTACCAATCACGGGGTGATTGGTACAACTTCACCCCGTGATTCGAACTACCAGACTGGTAACCTTTGGATTCAGTCAGCGCTCGTGTCGTCCAGTCTTCCTTTGTCCTTGTCAGTCGCGTTGTTTATATTATGAATACGTACCAACTTTCCCAGTTATTTTTGGTAACTGAGAATAGAAGTGGATTGTACTAATGATAAAAAAGCTATATACTTACTCGTTTTACGGTTGAAACAGTGCCCATTGCCAAAACAGGGCGCAAAATATATTCTCAATTTACCGGTTTGAATCGGTTTGAACCGTTATTTTTTCTCCCCGGAACCGTTATGTTTGCTCCCCGTGTGATCTTGTGACTCACTTCCTTAATTGAGCTTCTGTGTCATGCTGGTTATGCTGGGGAATGACTGAACCATGAACCGTCTTTTAAGGATTATATTTCTGTTTTCCTGTCTGGTTGGGCTTGTGTGCCAAATTCGTTGTCGTTTGGAGATGGGGTTTGAATTGTTTTCAATGTCCGAAAAGTCCCACAACTTGTCAATGTATGAGGTCATTTTCGGAGTGGCTGTTGAAGCTTGTGATGAGATCCACGTATTGTAACCAGCGTTTTCTGATCACACGAAGTATGCAATGCTTTGAAACGTGATACCGGCTGTAAGTTAGCACCGTCTTTTGTCCGATTGGCCAGCTCTAGCTAGTGTAGTATACTTTACTTAAACGACTTCAAAGTTTTGAGTTTAAGTGCACGCCACGCATACGGAAGGGGAGTACCGCGTAGACGTTCTTGAAGCTGGCAACTATAATTAGGAAATAAAGGACGAACATTATTTTAGAAAACTTTCATAACTACATGTGTTTTATTACAATGACATAAAATGAGCGGTGCTCAGATTAGCAGTAATGTTCACAATTGTGTGCTATATTAAGCGTAGAAATCTGGGTGAGTTCGTGATGCATCGGAACGAGAATGCAGCGCAAACAAACGACGGAGCAGTATAGGTTATACACACAGGCAAGGCGCTGACTTACAACTGAAATTTCATTAAAAAAAAACATGAAGGACGCGAAAACATTTGAACCATCTACCACACCCACATCACCATACACCACTTCGCATGAGCCGAGATATTCTATCTCGTTCTGAAAGAGGGCCACAGAGGGGGCACTGATACACGTGCGCTCCCTACATCATGATATATGAAATGCCTCAGTTATCTCCCCCGTCCTTTTGTTGTTTCGCATCATTATTGTTGTCCCTTCAAACTTAGGGGGGGGGGGGGGCGGCGCACCCACACCCGTCGCAATCAGAGGTCGGAAATTTAGGTCGCCCTCACTCACCCTCACCCTCACAACCACACTCACCTAAGCCCCTCACTCACCCTCACCCTCACAGCTACACTCACCTTCAGCCCCTCACTCACCCTCATCCTCACGGTCACACTCACCTTAAACCCTTCACTCACCCTCACTGAACCTCACGGCCCTCACGCACTCATGGCCCTCACACCCCGCACGTACTCACCGCCCTCACGGCCCTCACGCACTCATGGCCCTCACGCCACTCACCGCCCTCACGGCCCTCATGCACTCATGGCCCTCACGCCACTCACCGCCCTCATTCTCTCATGGCCCTCACGCCACTCACCGCCCTCATTCTCTCATGGCCCTCACGCCACTCACCGCCCTCACGCCCCTTACTCACTTACTGATGGCCCTCACGCCCCTCACGCACTCACCGCCCTCACGGTCCTCACGCACTCATAGCCCTCACGCACTCACCGCCCTGACGGCCCTCACGCACTCATACCCCTCACGCCCCTCACGCACTCATGGCCCTCACACCACTCAGGCCCGCTTCAGATGGCGCAATTTCGCCCAGAAACTTGGCGTCGCAACACCAGCAACACGGGCCGCCCGCGTTCACGCGCAGCAACCAACTGCTGCAATTTGCCATCATCGTCATAAAATTTTATTTTCCTTGCACTATTTAGACACACAATTAGGCGCTATAAACGAGTTTTTATGCATTTAAATCTCATTGAGAATACTAATGCATCTTTCTGAAACAGTCTATTTCCAAAAACGATCAACTTCAAACCAGAACCAAGTCTTTTGTTGTCATCATCACCGGCACGAGGTATCACGTGAAAATATCGCGTCCCTGATTGGATGCAGCCCCTTCAAACGTCTTCGAATTGCTCCGAGTTGCTCGCTTATTTCGAGCCCGACCCGATCTCAGCAATTCGTGTCGATCTAGGGAAAGCTAGGGAACAACCCGCCAGCAACACCAAAATTGAGGAGAAAGTTGATCCTTCTGAAGGGGGCCTCACGCACTCACCGCCCTCACGCCCCTCACGCACTCATGGCCCTCACACCCCTCATGCACTTAACGCCCTCACGGCGCTCACACCCCTCACGCCTCTCACGCACTCACGGCACTCACACACTCACCACCCTAACGCCCCTCACGCACTCACCGCCCTCACGGCCCTCACGCACTCTCGGTCCTCATAGCCTGCATGGCCCTCACTCACCGTCACACTCATGAATTTTCCTAGTTCAGAAACTCACTCGCCCTCACCTCGCCCGTGAAGATGAGGGTGAGTGAGGGTGAATGAGGGTGAGTGGGTGTCTTCATGAGCGTGGCTTGCCGAGGTATGGTCACAATGAATCGCCAAATGACCGACGGGGGACGATGTCACGAATAATGCATGCTCCCTTAGTCTATCGTTGACGCATCTACCAGACTGTCCAATGTACTGCTTATCACACGATAGCCGTGTTCTATACACAATTCCCCGTTCCCTCATCGCGCTGCGTGTGCTGCTCCCCTATCAATTCTACCACGCAACTTCTCCAGTTTCTTGGGAGCGGAGAAAAGAACCGGGACTTGGTGTCTCTCCGCCACCTTTTTAATCCTTTGGCTGACCTTGTGTACATAGGGCACCACTAACGGTCTCACTCTCAACTTGCACTTCTCTGGGACCACAGCAGTCCCCCGAAGCCTTTGCAGCAGTGATAAGAGCAACCATTTGTTAATATCCGCCCATTGCTGACGAATATATATATATATATATATATATATATTAATATAATTGATTACAATACATTCTGCCTTTTTTGTGAGGTTTGGATCGTAAACTTTTCGGGTGATGTCCTAGTCACTTTACTAACACATCCCATATCTGCTTCGTGTGTGGGTCCTTGCAAACTTTGCTGCCGGCATGTTGATTACAGAACCCCTCAAACATGAACCATAATACTATATGCCATGAGACTTCCCGTCCAGAAGAGGCTATCCAGTGAACTCGTATAAATGCATGAGATGAGTATGCCCATATGGAACTTATATTTCCATGCGGGTTCAGAACCTATATATCGAACCCGTGTCTGCATACGACGCCCTCTATTAATGCACCTAATTTGTGCAGTGTGCAGGGCTTACACAAACGTGTTGGACTTGTTTTTGTGTGTAATTCGTGGTTGTGTACTTTATACATATGTACCTCACTTGTTTGTTGATGTTTGCAAAAATGTTAAAGAAACAAAACAAAGAGTAATGTTTTGCTTGAAACTTACGTTGTTTTGTATATATATATATATATATATATATATATATATATAATTTGGACTATACTTGAAAATATTGCCGCGCGCAGGGTCACGGACTTCTAGAACTTTCTCGTTTATTCTTGCTCCGGACATAACTTCTGTCGTTTGCTTATGTTGTTCTAGAAAGTGCGTGTTCATTCTCGCCGCGAGCGCGCTACGCTCGAACCTTCTCCGCCGAATCTTCGAGATAGTGACTCATTCTAGATAAGAGGCCACCCGCAACCTTGTCGAGTCAGTTTTCGCCTCAGCGTTCGACCTTACTGCTTCGCCGCCTTCGACGCCCGCGACGCTCTGTTGTTATCTTTCTATTTCTTTTTATTTTTGGCACAAGTTCGCCACATTAAACGTTTATTTCTTTCTGTGTATTCATTGTTTTTTGGTCACCACCCGTGACAATATATTCATTTGAACATCAGGAGCCTGCAACAGCGAACCCAAACAGGTCATCGCCTTCTTAGAGGATTCTCAGTGGGAAGACGTCGAGAAAAGCAAGTATACTTTCTACCTCTTTAGACTCAAATTTCGTTACAAGTACCGATACTTCAGATAACAAAATAAGTATAGCATTCGTGCTCAGGTTTGGAAACGCTTAAGGGTAGAAATTACTCAATGATAAGGGAGAAAGATAATGGCCATACCCCACCTGGTCCCTGTGCGCCCTTAAAAATATTGCGCATGAACCCCTCGGCGCCCCCCCCCCCCCCCCCCTTTCTCCTCCTTTCTAAAATCAGCAATGTACCACACGTGACCAAAGCTGCAAGAGAGACTATATGGCGGGCAAAGTGCATCTTTCGCGCATCGGAACGCAAGGATAAGTTTTCGATCAGAGGGCAACACAGGAACCGCGCGACGACGAGACAGCCAAACTCGCTCCGTTATAGACGCTTTGCAGCAGCCTTGCATGGACGCGGCCATAACTGACCTTCAGTTTTTGTTTCCTCTTATTTCGTTTCTTTCATTTCATCATCACCATAGCAGGCCAGGTTATTGCCATATTAGATTCAACTGTGTCCGTTTCTAAAGCATCGGCCTTTGTAGAGGATCGTCAAGTACCGTTTCAGTTGCTCGGCATCTCGGTAAGACAAGAGAAGGTCAGCAATGGCGGCTGTAATCTGGCGCGTGTGTAAAGCGTCTATAGGCTGAGGTTGGTGGGAAACAAAGGCGCGTGGACGCATTTGGGGGTAGACAATCGCACGAGGCGTGCAAATACTTGCACACCGTACCGAGAACAAGCCCATTTGTGTCTACACGGGCCGCGTACTCTCCACTCTTCACTGTGTGCATTAAAGACGCAAGATTACAAAAATAACAAATAGGATTTATATTAAAAAAAAAAAAAGACAGCGCACTATTCAACTACTAATTATTTCACTTCCTGATTTTTGACATCCTGACGTCAAAGTCACTCTGCGTCACTGAGAGCTTACAAAGGCAAGGCGTGGTCGTGCGTGGTCCGAGCACCTAATTAGTATCCCTCCGCACTAAATGAGACGCGGAATCATCCCATAAGACCGCCAAAAAACCAATCAGGGAACAAAAAGCCGAGCTCTGGTTTGAATGATTGCTGAGTAGACCTAAAGCGAGCTGCTTTTGCCTCAACCGCATTTGTCGAACGCGTTCGAATACAAAAGTCATATGGCCGACGCCGGCGTTCCGCGTTCTAAAGCGTTCTACGAGTGCAGTGGAGACAAAAGGCAGACCATCTTTAGATCTACCCACTAGTCGTTCCAACCAGAACTTGGCGTTCTGACATCCCAAAGCGTCTCCTTCTCTTTCTCAGTTTCTCGGCGCATAAGCAGAACCAGATAGAGTTGTTGCTCTCGGGCAGGGGGCGCGAGCGCGTCCTCAAGACGCGACCATGTTATGCTGGCCGCACCATCCAGGTGGCGCTGTAACGCTCGATTTTGCACGTGCCACGTTCGAATGCAAGCATCTATCAGCATCTCAAGACGCGCGATAACAAAACGCCTAAAAACTAAAAAAAAAAAAAAAAAGAAATATGCAGCTTGCGGCCTCAGCGTTCCAATAAACATTCCTTTCAGCTTTATTACTTTATTGCTCTCTTTGATAGCTCCCGTGGGCCGTATGTTTTACTTCACTTGATCGCGAAGCCGAAGCTATACTTGCTAAAGCATGTTCCCCTGAACGATGCTTGCACTCCACGAGCGCGCGTGCTTGGCAGGTATGTACACTGAAAGCTCGGAGCTCGCTCTTCTATACTCTAAAAAAAGCCCGTGCGTCTACTTTCCCGCACAACACTCGGAGAGCCAATCACCGCAACTTACGAAGGCGGCTCAGCGAATGACGATGCCGAAACATATGTCTAGACAAAAAAAACGCAGACTCAGTTGTGACATTAAGCAATGCAAAACGTCACGCTTTCATTGCTTAATGTCACAACTCAGACTGCATTTCGACTAAAAAGAAGCTTTTAGCGGCTCTGACCAGTAGTAAGCCCAGGACCAAAGACGTCACATATCGCGCGCTTTTGGCACTGCGGGTCGCCCCCGTAGGTGGAGGAGGTTTCCGCGTCGTCCGGTTAAAATATGACGCACTGATATTTAGTTACTTTCTCCGTGCCCGTTGGCTTGCCTCCGAACCCCAAGAGACGTAGAAATCGCAAAAAAGGTAGACGCTTAAATATGATTGCAGGGCCCCTTTAAAGTAAGTGTTACACAGCAAAAGGGAAAAAAAAATATTTCTTTATTGAACATCTGGGCAAAGTGTCGCAGACTCAAAGGACAATCTCATAACTGCGATCATATTTCTAGCGACGCCAAGTGTTTCCGGAAGAATGGTCGCTTATATGCAGATTCAATAAAACAAAATACGATACAATTACTTTCACCGTACCCTGAGTCAAAGTGTTTCTCTTTTTTGTTTTTTCTTTTTAAGGATAAGCAAAAGGTTTATAATAAAATACCAACGAAAAACGTTCGTCATTCGTGTTCAGCTTGCTTGCACCTTTGCATTTAGTTGCATTATAATCATCAAATACCATCCAGGCGCTTTTCTCTTTCATTCAGGCTTGATTTTTTTTTAATGTAAAATGTATGCGCGGAATGTGGATCGGATGTGGTTCCGAATTTCGCTGATGCGGTTCTGATGCGGATACAAAGTGTGCGGATACGGATCGGACGCAGATACAACAAATTAAGAACATTGGGGATGCGGTTCGAGTGCCAATACAAAGTCTACGGATGTGGATCGGATGAGGATGATCAAACTGTTATCCGCGCAGGGCTTTATATATAGGCTATTCTAAATCTTACACACGACGCTGAACGCCCGTCCTGTCCTAAAGCAACGCGATATATAAAACAAATCTGCTTTGTTAATGACAATTTGTTTTAATGTTGTCGTGACAATGTCTGCTTAAGCTAAAAACTTACAATGCGCTCATTTCAGATGTGACATTGATACCGATGGTCGGGCATGTGGATGTGACTATGAATGAAATGCCACCCGAATGCAAGGAACAACTTGAACGACGAATGGAAACGAGGTGCTCAAGGCGGGCCTCTGGATATGATCTCAAAGTAAGCGTCCCACCAGGCTCAACAATATATTAGGCGCGTGCAGCGTTGGTAGATCAACTTACGACTGATTCATATATTCGCGTTCGAATATGCATCTGAGCCCGCTGCAGCCGCGGTTATGTCTGCACCGAGAGAGGGTTGCCGCCGGCACACCGAGATACCGGATTCGCCCAGACAGCGGAGACGGCTGTCTCTGTTTTCTTGAAGGGGTTTCTACGACGATAAATGACGGCAGACAACCTCATATTTCAAAAGGGGAAACCCCGAAGATGGGTGGGCCCAGCCGTTCCAATTACGCAAAGCCTATCGCCACTAGTTGGCCATTGGATTTTCGCGGAGTGAATCGTATTTCTTAGTTAAATATTTGCTACCCGAGAGCACGCTTTTGCCCGTCGGGTAAACTGGTAAACGTGCGAGTTGCCACGAAAACGGTGGCTATATTTGGCGCTAAGCTACGTTCCCCGCAAGGACAGAAAAATTACCCTTTCACGAAGCCTGACATAAAGTAATGCCGTGTGTACCCAAGGCTATGTGTGTATGCCCTAACGAGGTGTGTTTCTTGAAATTCGGGAAGCACGGAGTGACAAACGGCCCTCAGAACTATATGGGCAGACCGTAACTCTTAGGACGCGGGAAACATAACCACAACGAAACGGGGTACGAAAAGGAGCCACTAGGCGACGACTCGTCTTTCCTTCTGTGACCAGTTAACCTGGCACCAGTATTTCTGTGACGGACATCTCTTCATTCATTAATCCCACAGTGCCAGACAGAAGAAAATTTGGGGTACACAGTTGACGATGGATATTTGGTGCTGGCACCAAATATCCATCGGGCACCTGAGCGCTGCTGATATGCCGAGACTGTGTTTCCGGAATCAGAAACTAATGAAACAGTCTCGGCAAGTTAATGCACCGGTGGCAACGTCCCCTAAAATGACAAGTGGGTGGAAGCGGCGGTATCAACAATCAACATGTGCAGACCAAAAAAAAAAAAAATTCCTCGGACGTCATTAACGACGTCGAGGTCAGTAAGCGAGCTTCCTACCCTCAAAAAAAAAGAAAAAAGAAAAAAAAATCGGGTCGAAATAGAACACATAAAGGGTACGGAAACGAAATGTTTTGTACTTCTTTCTTTGTTTAGATATGGTCTATAATGTGCCGGCAGCCCAGAAACATTAGCATAGGCTAGAGTGTCTGGCCTGCAAGCAAATAAGTAAAGAAAATTTACTTTAAAACGAATTAACAGATTTCGAAGTTGCGTCTGGTGGCGGTCTGTGAAGCTCCGTTGGAATGCCGTCACGTCTTGGTTCAGAAGCAGCGCCAGTTCGCTGCAGTATGTCTCGCTCGTGGGGTTACTTAGTCCTGAATGTTACTTGGCGAAAAACGCTAACGCGCTTATACTCCGTTCACCCATAAGCTGAGGTTGCAGCCAAAGCTACAAGCGCGAGCTAGCCAGCACTTCTTTCAGACACGCATTTCTAGCGCCTGTGCTCGTTCTCAGGAAGAACGCATCAAAGCAGCGACCTCGAGCTCTCGCCCTCGCATATTACTACTATACTCCGCGACAACTTTTCTTGGCAATGCAGTGGAAGGTACAGGCCCGCGTCCCCTCTCCCATTTTGAGTGTACGCAGGCTCACGTCCTCCCCCATTTCCGGGGAGAGGAGGAGAGCCCGTGCACACTCTAAATGGGAGAGGGGACGCGGGCCTTTACCTTCCACTGCATTGCCAAGAAATTTGTCGCGGGGTTAATATAGAGTGGCTCTAATTAAGGCGAGACTGTCACGCGTTCACGCCACCAAGCGTCAACGCGTGACGTCGTTCTTTTTGCGTATTTCAATGCAAGAAAAATATTTTTTAATGCCTCCAAGCACCAACACCGCATGTGGTGGTTGTACGAAGATGTACGCTTGTTTCGACGGTGTGAGGATAGCGAAAACTCGATATAGACATTATTTTTTTTTCCTGTCGTTTTCAGTCACGTGGGTTCCGTATCTGGTATGCGGAACGAAAAAATGATAAAACGTTTCAACCACTGGTTTCAACCCGGAATGTGCGAGAAAATATAGCTGAGCCGAACCAAGAATGTGTGACAGTCTCGCATTTTTTGTAAACACCTTCCAGCGGCGGGGAGAGATCAAAACAATGGTTTACCGCATACCAGGAGTGATGACATTCAAGATGACTGCGATCTTATGGAAGAGGTGTATGCAAAAAACGTCCCTGTAAACCCTTTTGCTGTTAAAGGGGTATTCACACGGGGGAGAAATCCCGGGGATTTCTCCCCGGCACGCGCGCATCACGAGATGAAAACGCGAGGCTTTTGCAGATCGCAAACCTTGACATTTTCGTCATGGGATGCGCGTGCCGGGGAGAAATCACCGGGATTTCTCCCTCGTGTGAATACCCCTTTACAAACATGAACTGCCTCTTGAGTCCCAAGCGACTTCCGGTCGCGCCGTCTTTGCGAGCCTGTCGAGCTTGCTTTGGCACCAGTGCTAGAAAGCATAAATGATACACGGACAACAACAAAGTTGTAGATTTAACGAGAGTCTTCGGCTGTAGTATTCAACGTATTGGACGAGGCAAGTTGGTTTACAAGAATATTCGAAACATTTTAATAGATCTCGCGCTTGTTCGTTCTTTTGGCGTTCACCTGGAGAATTGGTTGTCAAACGTTTCATCGACATATCAAGCAGCGATGTTAAGGTGGGCCTTTTTCATTCTAGAGAGGCTGTGCATCTGGCCATTTTGTCCCACACGTTTATTTTTCTTTTTCGTTCAGAAGCGCGTGAAAGAGCATGTCCCTGCACGCGTTTGTGGCGCTGACAGTGCTATGGCGACATTTTGTTTTCGTCGATTTCTTTATATTTTCCCAGTGAGCGCGTGCTGTCGGCATCGGGTACTACAAAGGGTGGCATCACCCTAAAAAGGAGGACATTGAAGCACCCTAGTTCATTCTTTTTATAAACCGGAAGTTCTCCGGCACATCAAGGACTGGAGCACCACATGATGGCGTTTGCCATGAAAATAGGTTGTGCGCGACCAAAAGCGTCGCTGCGGTCAGCTTTCCACGATTGGCCAAACCATGGGCATATGAGCATTGTCAGATTGTCGACTTTGACGGTGTTAGTTCCGGGTGCGATGGTTCCTAGCTTCCACTGTGCTTTTTAAACACACCATCGAACTCGTCGTCGCACCTGATGGTAAGTAGCCAGGGTAACAACTGGTGACGTCACGGCCAGGTAAACCCCAGTCGTGACGTCACGGATGGAAACCGTAGAGGGCGCCAGTGAAATATCTCGGCCAGAGCCGTTTATACTGAGAGAGTTTGGCCTTCTTAAGGAGATTTTGGCAGTCTGACAACCACAGCAGCGTAGTCTGACAACCGGGGGATGACTACTTCCGTCCGCCATATTGTGGATCTGACTCATAGGAACTCTACGCGATTTCACAGGAATGAACAAGACAAAGAAGTAACGCCATATTGTGTTATCGCGAAATCCGCTGGTTCTAGCGGCCAACAAGCTCCGCCCATCGGCCAAACTCTCTCAGTATAAACGGCTCTGATCTCGGCGCTAATAAAGCTACCTATCAACAGCGAATTTAGATCGGCTCGATATTGTTGAGGTTAAGGAGAAATTACTCATTTCATGGGCGAAAATTGCGACCATACGGGGAGCTTGGCTCTACTTTCTGACGATCCAGTTAAGGTCGGTTCACATATCACCGTTTGCTTACGTTACGTTACGTTACGCTACGTTACGCTGCTTACGTAGAACTCCTTGAACTGGATGATTGACATTGCACGCGACATTAGATGCACGGATGTTTTAGTGACTTTAAAGTAACGTAGGAAAACGTAAGCAAATGCTTCTGTGTAAACCATCCTTTACTTTAGATATATGCTGCCGCAGAACGTTCCACAACGATCCCTTGACTATGACTTCAAAGTCATGTTATCATTAAAGAATCAGTCGACGTAATGAAAAAGAAAACTGCGAAGACATCTTTTTCTCATTGTATTTTGGTGTCTGAAGGCGTCTTGCTTCACAAAAAAAGAAAAACGCTCATCTATAATAATAAAAGAAAACCCTAGTTCTCACAGTTTTTTTTTTAAATCGCAAAAAAACTGCGTTGATAAGGATGAAGTGATTGGGAACGACGCTAGAATTTCCAGTAGAGGCAGGTTTTACTTGGCAAATTCTAAGTTGTAAGATATCGTAAAACAACGATTAGATATTTTTATCTTAAGGTTAAGGGGTTGCGTATTAGCGCAGAAGGTTGTAATATATATCTTGTCAAACGTGCTCGTTTCAGCCTGAAGACTTTCAAGGTTGCCACTTTATATGTAGGGGATATCAACAAGGAGGAACGGTTACAGTAGAACAGCGCGTTGATCTGAAAAATGGCACACCTTGTGGACCGCGCGGGGAGGTAAGTGTTGGAATCCGCAGCCTTCTAACCACTCCAACAAATAGAACTTTGTGTATTTCGAGGCTATCGAAACGCCCTCGGTAGATAAAAAAAAAAATTAAAAAATATAACTGATGGTGAAAACTTATCACACCACAAGATAAAATCACATCCGTTGCATCGGTCTATTTTTTCTATCTTCGCTTTCTATTAAATATAAATCAAATGCTCAAAATTGTAACTTAAAACGAAATATTAGTGTAGTCCTTGCAATTTAATCAACGACACCGGTGCACCGCCAGAATGTCAATGCGGCCGTTGTCTCTTGGCACGTCGAGTTATTTTAATGCGAAAGCATTAGCAGTCCCATGGAGCGAGCTGACGTCATCAGTTTGAAGCTCTAAAACGGCACCTAGTTTCCGCAATCGCCTTCGGTTCCATTGGCTCGCGCGCGTCGACGGGGCTCCCATTGGCCTCTGCGCTCGTCAGTTTCCACTACCACTCACCCGATGACGCTGCGTGTCCATCAGCGCGGCGTTAACTCGGAGTGTCCAAGGTCACCAGGGGAGCAGGTGTGCTGAATGGCAACGAAAAGTATGCAGCAGACGACAAAGGGAGTGGACGAGCGGGTTTCATTCTTTCGCATTCACAACTCATAAGAAGTGCTTAGGTGTAGCTCCAGCTTTTTTATAATGTAGTCTCGCCTAAGCCGAACTAACGCTGCTCATACACAACACAAAAGACATGGTGGTCGCGTCGCAGACAGGATTACAGAATTATCTGTAGACGCTCGTACCTCAAGTGCGTTTACGGGATGATTGCTTCCTGCATATGCGTGTTCTGAAGATATCTGCAGACTGTTTTTGTATGACCAATGTAACACGACTGCAACACAAAGAAGAAACTCGCCTCGGCCACTGTCTGCAGACAATGTCTGATGCCTGTCTTTTGTACGATGTATTAGCAAAAATTGCGCAGTACGCATTCATAGTGTACTCAGGACACATTCTAACCATTTATAAAACGACTGCAAAAAAAAAGGCTCGAGGTACACCTAAGTACTTCTTATGAGTTGTGAATGAGAAAGCACACACGCCACTCTTCGATGCCTTCTTTCGTCTGCGGCGTACGGCGCGCTGACCTTGGACGTGGAACGGTGGAGCCGCTGCCTCGCGAACACGGAGCGCCATCGGGTGAGCGAACGTTGAAACTGACGCTCAGCGGCCAATTGCAGCCTCGTCGACGCGCGCCAGCCAATGGGACCAAAGCCGAAAATACATCAGCTTAGGCTCCTAATGGCCGCCATGGGCGTCAGTTTCAACGATCGGTCACCCAATGGCGCTTCGTGTCCGCGACTTCGCTCCTTTGGGGTCAGGGAAACTAGGTGCCATGTCATAGGCTTTTCGCGCGGTTTCATAGCTGGGAGCTGGCTTTACTTGGAGAAAGGATTTGAGGTGCCGGTTTTGTGCTTGTAACTGATGACGTCGGCTCGCTCCATGGGACAGTTAATGCATTAAAAAATCCCCGGTTTCTCGTCTTGTCTTGCAGACGAGCCTCGTCGGCAGCCGAGGCGCTGTACACTCTACCACACGCGGAGTCCACACAATCACACGGCGCACAGGCACTTTCCACCATCATGCAAAATGTATAGGCGTACATCACACATTGTCGTTATTCGCATTATTACGCTACCTTTCGTTACGTGATATACTATTATGCTAAAAGAAGGACCAGGTTCCAAGTGAGGAGCTCAATTGTTTTTCGTCGTTTGGTCAAATGTTGAAGCCAATAAACATTGTTTAAATGTGCAATGTTTAATCGATCGATCGTTTGATTGTCATCATAGCTGAAGCAGTAAAGTTATCTGGGATAATTTCTACGATAAAGCTAGCGAAAACATGTCCGCTAAATTTAGCGGAGACGTTGTCCCAACTAACTTGAGCTTTCCGCATTTTCCCGCCAAGATCCTACACGAAACTCACACGACGGCCCGCTGCAAAACCTCGCCAATCACGACTGTCGCCGCAAAACTAATGAACGATCATTCGGGTGCGATCGTACGCCACTTTACTGTTCGGTGAGATATTTGTGGGAACTTCTATATATAAAAGACTGAATTCACGTTAAGATTAAACTCGTTGCGTTCGTAGGAGAACGTCAGGAAGCGTCCGATGCGTTTCGTTGAGAAAAGAACACTGGTTTATTTCTGTACAAATACAAAGGACAAAGTCACCGACACTGGCAAGGGAAAGAGAGAACAACAGCAAAGGGGGGAGAGAGAGGCGGGGTGGTGCGATGCGTTCCAGATGTGTCCGAGCCGAAGGCCAGGAGCGCCCCTCCGTTTATGACCCCCCTCACATTCCGGGGCCTGGGAACCGCAGATACCCGAACGAAGGCCTGTTTGTGTTTTGCGACGTTCACTTCGTTTTCGAAACGCGGGGCCACCGAGTCTGGCCGAACAAAACAATAACGTAAAAATATTCTACAAACATCTCCCCCCGCAATGAGCATACAATTGCTCATTAGTTCAAAGACTCTAACGGATACAGAAGTTGGACCGGTCGTTTAATGACCTTTCCATGGGGGATCCTTATTGTACATGAACGCACGCGTCCATCGCGCCCAGGGAAAGTTTTGACAACACGGCCCGTGCACCAATTCTGCCGTGGCCGTAAATGTTCATATACGATTACAAAGTCTCCTTCTTTAAGTCCAGTGGACTTGGTGGGTCGGGAGTGGTGCGCAGAACGTAATTCGTTTAAATATACTCCCGACGCCAGCTTCTCCAGAACTGGTCAGCAAGCGCCTGCCTGTGTTTCCAGCGCCTCTGAATGTCGGCGGCGCTGGACTCAGAGACGAGGCGACGTTCGCATGAAGGGAGCGACGTAAGTCGTCTCCCTACAAGAAAATGCGCTGGTGTGAGCGGGTCTGGTTCGGATGTCTCAGCGTAGACGAACGTTAGAGGCCTGGAATTTAGTACAGCCTCGACTTCCGTCAACACTGTGCTCAGTTCTTCGAATTTCAGAAACCCATGACCCAAGACCTTTTTTAGAACAGTCTTGACGCATCGCACCATCCGTTCCCAAAACCCGCCCCACCAGGCAGCCCTCTCAACAATAAATTTCCACTGCACACGGAGGGACGCGAACACAGCAGAAACCTCCTCTCTCCGTATGCAGTCCCAAAGTTCTCCGAGTTCCTTGTCGGCCCTGCGAAATGTCTGAGCATTGTCAGTCAGCACAACACGACACACTCCTCTTCGAGAGATGAAGCGTCTGAAGGCCAAGATGAACCTCTCCGTCGTCAGGTCACTGACAAGTTCCAGATGCACAGCTCTCGTGACGGCGCACGTTATCACAAGGATGTAGCACTTTTTCACAACACCACACTCCTTAGCGAAGAGAGGACCTGCAAAGTCCATGCCAACGACCTCGAAGGGATCGGCCGGGTTCACCCGCAGGCCCGGCAGGGGTGCTGTAGGTTCACAAGCCGGCTTGCAGTGAAGCCGATTGCAAGTCACACACCGTTTCAGCATTCGCTTCGTCACTTGTCGAGCCCTTATGACCCAATACCTCTCCCTGATCTCCGTTACGGTGTCACGAAGACCCGCATGAAGTAGACGTTCGTGGGTCGCGCGAATAAGCAGCTCAGTAAAGAGGTGCTTGGGAGGTAGGATGATTGGGTGCTTTTCCTCCAGCTGACGTTGCGTCTTCTGCAACCTTCCCCCGACGCGAAGGATGCCATTAGAGTCAAGATAGGCCCCCAACGAACTTAACGGAGACCCCTTGCTGCACTCCCCCTTGTCTTGTATTGCGGCCAGTTCCTCCCCGAACTCTTCACGTTGAGTTTGTCGCACCAGGAATTCTTCCGCGTCGCTCATTTCCTGTGCTGTCAATGATCCTTGCTTTCTCTGAACTCGCCGGCAATTCCGTACAAAACGCAGGATCCACGCCGTGACCCACAGGAGACGATTCAGGCTGCTGTAGCGTTGCAATGGAATGAGAGGCTCCGTAACAACAAGAGTGACACATGGCCTCGATTCCCGTTGCTCCTGCTGATGAATGTCGGTGTCGTCCAGTCGTTCTCTTGGAGTCCGTTGGGGCCATTCCGTTTGGAAACCCTGCAGCCAGTCCGGTCCTCCCCACCACAGTCCGCTAGTAACCAACGCAGGAGCCGTCAGTCCCCTGGTCAACAGGTCTGCAGGATTCTCGTTGCCTGGACAGTGCCACCATTGCACAGGATTCGTCAGTTGCTGAATTTCCGTTACGCGGTTCGCGACAGAGGGCTTCCACTTCAAGGCAGACCCCTTGATCCAGTGCATGGCGATGGTCGAATCAGTCCAAAGGTAGACAGCCTGCAGCGGTATCCTCAGCGTGCCGATGAGATAGTGGTGCAACCTTGCCGCCAATAAGGCTCCCATGAGTTCAAGCCTTGGTAGAGTCAGCCTTTTAAGTGGAGCGACTCTTGATTTGGACATGAGAAGCGTAATCGTTACGTCGGTTTCACTCTCTGTCCTGAGATAGGCCACTGCACCGTAGGCCCTGGGACTAGCGTCGGAAAACAGATGAAGTTGGACAGTCGTGACGTCGCTGTCCCCCTTCAGGCTGGTGTATCTTCGTGGAATCGACATCTCCCGAAGCGCAGAAAGTTGGGAACACCAGTCCGACCATTCCCCAGCGATGTTGTCAGGAAGATGTTCGTCCCATCCCAGTGCCAGCTCCCAAAGTGTCTGAAACAACAGCTTCACTGTGACGACGACGGGGGCGATCACCCCGAGCGGATCATATATCCGGGCAGATGTCTGGAGAAGACCGCGCTTGGTGAGCTTGGTGTTGTCCACGAACCCGAGTACATTTTCCAGGTTGACAGTTAGCCGATCATCCACTCTGTTCCAGAGCAGGCCAAGGATCTTTACGACTTCTGCGTTGTGGCCTGTGGTTTCTGACCTGTCGTTCGCTTCGTTTGAGTTGAAGACACGCTGCAGGTCGTTGTCGTTTGTGTTCCACTTGCATAGTTTCATGCCCGCTCCTGTCATGATGACGCTGGCTTCTTCGTAAATTACACGAGCTTGAACATTTGTCTCCGCGCCCGTAAGCAAATCGTCAACATACAGACACGTGTCGATGATCCCCGCAGTCTCGGGGTACGTTCCCCTTACAGTGTCTAAATGATGTCGAATCGTGGCTAAAAGCAGAAAGGGGCTGCATGACGCCCCAAAGGGCACTCGCGTCATTCTCCATGTCTCAGGCGGGTTTGCCAATTCGTCACCCCTGGGCATATCTTTGAACCAGAAAAAGCGAAGAGCGTCTCTGTCCTCCGGGGCGAGGGAGACCTGCAGAAACGCCTTTTCTATGTCGGCGCTAAGAGCGATGGGGTGCTCACGGAAGTTCAAAAGCACTTGCAGCAGCTCTGGATTCAAGTTGGGCCCAGCATGAAGATGATCATTAAGCGAGGCAGAGTTTGGAGCATGTGACGAGGCGTCAAACACGATGCGAATTTTTGTGGTTTCGCGGTCCTCCTTGATCACGGCCCGGTGAGGCATATAATACGTCATGCCACTGGGCCCGTCTTCATCCTCAGGGGGAACTCTTTCAGCAAAGCCGTTGCTCATATATTCCCTTATCGACTTGTCATACTGCGTTAGCAGGCAGTTGTCTCGGCGAAGTTTCTTCAGCAAGGCTGTCAAGCGCATAGAAGCAACCTCCTTGTTGTTCGTCAATTGACGCTCTGAGGTCTTCCAAGGGAGGCGGGTCTCGTATCTGCCGTCAGTCATTATCAGGGACGAGTTGAAAGAAGTCACCAATTCTTTCGATGGCTCATTACCTTCGCTACTCTGGGAGGCGTCCTTAATGCCAAGGCTTTCAAGATCCCAGAATGCACGCAGTTCAGTTGCGATGCACCCTGGGGTCTCGTCAACGTTGACTCTGAAGACGGCTGTCGTTGCGCATACGTTGGCAGCGTTGTTCACCTTCAGGGGGCCCTGCAGAGACCACCCGAAGATAGTCTCCACGGCGGTCAGTGAAGGGCTGACGCGATGCACGTTCCCGGTGGTGACCCTCCAATAGTAATCCGCTCCTATTAGAATGCTCACTCCACGCTCCCTTTGACAGTCCCCCACAGGTAGATCAGCGAGTGTGATCCCTTGCCCTTGTAGGCTGTTGATCAGATCACCATCAGTGATGCCCAAAATCTCTCCGCAGATCTCCGGAACCTCCAAGGCCTCGATGACGATTTCGGCGTCTCCGTGGTGGCTTCGAAGTATAAGCTCCACCCGGCGGCATCTTCTTTTCGTACCACGCGCCGACTCACCGAAAGCGAATATCGTTAACTCCTCCTCTCCAACTGGTCTACATCGAAGTTTTTCGGAGGTGTCTCGACGGATGAAGGTTCGCTGACTGCCTCCATCGATTAGTGCTCGCAGGGAAGTCTCGGTCTGACCCCTCGCTCGCATCCTGGCCGTTTGAAGGAGCACCTGATTGTGGCTGGTTGTACAGGCGCTCGAGATGCCAATAAACTGAGGTGGGTTTGAGTCAGAGCTCGTCGACTGCCCTGCTCCTGCCCACTCGGGGTCGCACATCACGGTTAGATGTCTCCTAGAACACCTTGCGCACGATAGTTTCTGGGCGGACCTGCACTCTCGGGAGCGATGGAACTGCTTTGTGCACCGAAAGCACCTGTTCTCCGCCTTCAGTTTTTCCTTCTTTTCTTGGATCGTAAGGGGTGACGTACACTTCTCCAAGATGTGCTCGTTAGAGCCGCAGAAGACGCAGCGCCTCATTTCTGACTTCGCGGCACTGGTCAATGCTGTCGCAGAGCCTCCCTTTTCGGAGCGAAACTCTCGGTGGCGCGATTCGGGTGCCGTTCGTTGGTTCGCGTGGGGAGTGAGCTGTCGGCATTTTTCTCTGGTTTCCACCTCGATTTCAATAAACTCAAGCAACCTCGCGAGGTCGTCTCTACCTTCGGTCTGTGGTCGCTTTTCGACAATCAAACTCCGATTGTATCTGAGAATGAGCTCAGGAGGAAGAGATCTCTGGAGAACAGTGTGCAACAGTACCCCATACGAATCTGAGTCAACTCCCAAGCTTTTGAGGCTCCGCATGCGTGTCTGCACATCGTCATAGAGCCTGCGGAGCCCATTCGCCGCGTCTGACATAGTGATTGGTTTAACGTTCAACAGGTGCGTGAGGTGATCGTTGACGATGACGGAGGGTTGGCCGAACCTCTTCCTCAGTAGTTCTACGGCCGTGCCATAGTTGTCCCCGGTTACCGGAATACCTTTGATGACAGACTCCGCTCGGCCGACCAAATACACTTTGAGGTATTTGAACTTGTCTACGGGAGACAATGCTGGGTTCTGGTCGATTGAGGATTGAAACTGATCCCAGAATGTCTGCCACTCCGCCAGCTCTCCGTTGAACTTCGGTAACTCTAATTTGGGTAGCTTTACGTTTGGGACAGTTGCGCCGTTACCCCTTTGTACCTCCATACGCGACACGTTGCTAGAGGTAGAGGAGGTTGTCTCGTTGTTCGTGACTTCTTGTAGCTGCCTCAAGGCTCTAGTCCTGGCTATGCTGATAGCATCTTCATAACCGAGGCTAGCTTCCGTTTCCTCCTCGATATCGTTCACGTCGGTCAGGTCGGCTACTTGTTGGTCAAGCTCACGAAGCGATTTTTCTTTTAAAGCAAGGAGAGAAAGTTTTTCGTCAAGCTCACCTTGCTGCGATGGAGCTCCTTTCATTGCTGTGGTCATCTCGTTGATAATCCTGGTGACCGCAGCTCGGACGACCGCTCGTTTTTTCTTCAGTTTCTCCATTGCAGCCGCTCGTTTACGTTGTTCGTTGGCTTCAGTTCGTGAGGCTGTCGCTGCTTCCGTTGAGTGTCTGTTTGCCAGAGTGAGTTCCCTGACGTTCTCCCGGGTTTCGGCACCAAAATTGGTGGGAACTTCTATATATAAAAGACTGAATTCACGTTAAGATTAAACTCGTTGCGTTCGTAGGAGAACGTCAGGAAGCGTCCGATGCGTTTCGTTGAGAAAAGAACACTGGTTTATTTCTGTACAAATACAAAGGACAAAGTCACCGACACTGGCAAGGGAAAGAGAGAACAACAGCAAAGGGGGGAGAGAGAGGCGGGGTGGTGCGATGCGTTCCAGATGTGTCCGAGCCGAAGGCCAGGAGCGCCCCTCCGTTTATGACCCCCCTCACATTCCGGGGCCTGGGAACCGCAGATACCCGAACGAAGGCCTGTTTGTGTTTTGCGACGTTCACTTCGTTTTCGAAACGCGGGGCCACCGAGTCTGGCCGAACAAAACAATAACGTAAAAATATTCTACAATATTAATAATAGTCTGCCTTTGTCAACATTTTTTTCCCTCTTTTCGTAGAGATGTTTAAATGGAGAGTGCGTAAGTAGACGTCCGGAAACCATGTGCTCCGTAAGCTTCGTCCCGCCTGTGTGGCCTGAGCCAGGAGCACCGGCACCAAAGTAATAACTGCTCATAATGGCCGTCCACCTACCTGAATTAACTTTCCTGAGTGCACATCGTTGAGAACCAAAACCTCATTCAAAGTAAAAGGTGGTGAAATATCTTTTCTGTTTTTTTACTTATGTAGATGTGAAATGAAGAATTAAAAGCTAAAGTTATGGAACCTTCTCGGTGTTTGTGATGAACTAGCTACGCCTTCGGCAACTGCAGGATGAAATAAAGTTGTAAGTTTTAGGAAAAGCACCAAATGCCGAGCTCAGCCATCTCATCCTCCTCTTCACGCGCTCAACATCAGGGGTTCTCGAACTTAAAATCAAGCTCACCCCCGAAAGGTCGAGGGCCAACATGGGAAAGGGGAAGGAGGGGGGGGGGGGGGGTATACTTTGAAATATTTGGGGAAAAAAATACAGCAATGGTGTTTAATGTTCCAAAGCAGCCGACTCTCCCAGTGACACACCAGAGGTTTTCTAGAGGAGGAACCTCTGCTTCCTCCTGTGGTTTTCTCGCAGTCGTTTTAGAGTGCAGCTCTTAGGGGCCCGTTTCTGGCTTGAGCGGCGTCGCCGTCGCCGTCGGCGTAACCGCGAGGTCACGTGACCCCCCCCCCCCCCAAAGGTCACGTGACCCCTTGAGGTCTCGAGGCATCTGTGTAGGTTGGAGTTTTTGTTCTCCCTGCAGGTTCTTGGTCACCATCGAACTTAAACTGATCAAGAAAGAACTCACATTGAACAATTCCTTGGGTGCCGTTGACTTGCGAAAGTCACACGACATCAAGACTGCGTTCTGACGTCAAATTGCGTTGACAACGACGACGATGTCAACGTTGACGTTGATGACGACGACGACAACGTCACGGGACGTCAAGATGATGGCATCCTTGTCAATGCAACGTCATAAGGACGCTTGGTGTCAGTTCGTTTACGTCGTTGTCGACATGGACGCAACTCGACGTCACGAAAACATCCCGACAGCTTCACGACGTAGACCTTATCGTCGACGACGTTACAAGACGTCAAGACTTCGTCATGATCGCGCGTCGACGTTGATGCTGGCGAAGGGGACGACGTTACACGCCGTCAAGGCTTCGCCATGACGTTGACGTTCACGAGAACGTCAGGACGACGTTAACGTGACGTCATAGCGATGTTTGACGTTGCGTGGGGCGTCGACGCCAACGTCGGCATCGACGACCACGTCCACGTCGTCCTCGATGTGGCGCGCGTCGTCATGATCGCGTTACAACGGCGACTTGATGTCGCGTAACGGCGTCGTCCTCAACGCGACGACCGCGTCACAATGGCGACTTGATGTCGCGTAACGGCGTCGTCCTCAACGCGACGACCGCGTCACAATGGCGACTTGATGTCGCGTAACGGCGTCGTCCTCAACGCGACGACCGCGTCACAATGGCGACTTGATGTCGCGTAACGGCGTCGTCCTCAACGCGACGACCGCGTCACAATGGCGACTTGATGTCGCGTAACGGCGTCGTCCTCAACGCGACGTCACGACCGCGTCACAACGGCGACTTGATGCCGCTAAACGGCGTCGTCCTCGACGCGACGCGATGTCACGACGGCCTTACGACAGCATCTTGGCGCCACGTAACGTCGTGGACGATGACGTCGTGGCGTCGTGTCGGGGTGCTTTGACGTTACCGCTGACGTTGAAATCATAAAAACACAATATAGCCCCTAAAGGGGTATTCACACGAGGGAGAAATCCCGGGGATTTCTCCCCGGCACGCGCATCCCACGACGAAAACGTCAGGCTTTGCGATGTGCAAAAGCCTCGCCTTTTCATCTCGTGATGCGCGCGTGCCGGGGAGAAATCCCCGGGATTTCTCCCTCGTGTGAGTACCCCTTTAGGGGCTATATTGCCCATATGATCTTGACCTGTGTCGTTGCTCGATCGCAGCGAAGGGGGCGCTGCGATCGAAGTGGCTTGGTTCCACCTGATCGCTTTCCACATTTTGAGGTGCAACTGATATTCACTGGACGCCATATTTGAGGGCGATGTTTAGAGCGCAGGCTCCGAACGAGCTCACTAGCCTGCCAAGACCGGCAACCTTGATGGTGCTAAATGCACGCTGCAAAAGGACTGCGGAAGCTCGCCGTCAGCACGCGCTCAGCAGCAGCGCACACGGATATGGCCGCCAGTGAATACTCCCTATAGCTCGCCCCACTCGTACCTTCTATACTTTGTTTCACCTTGTGTTGTACCGCAGAAAAGGCTACAAGCGCGAGCTCCCTGCTCTAAGGCACATTTCGGCGGCACAAGCTCTCGTGCACTAAGGGCAGCGGTCAACGCTATGAGCTCGCGCTTCTAGCCTTCCCTGCGGTACGACATAAGGTGAAACGGAGTACACTCTACCCTTGGAGAGCGACGCGAGGGGCGATGTCGCAAAGGTGCTGTGTGAAAGGTTATCCGAGATGTTATCCAGCACCGAAAACCTCAGAGGACGCTTAAACTTCGCCTTTAAGATTGGAACGCGATAGCGCTATCGGGCCCCGTTTGCATCGCTTTCTCATTTGCTTCTCATGCTCTTCCTGCCAGTGAGCACTGAGCAGGAAGTGTGGCGGACACGAAAGTGTGCCCTAGTCAGTAGAGTAGCGTGTCTGGCTCGCAACCGAAAGCTCGTGGGTTTGAATCCCGCTTAAAAATCTTAAAATGCTTCTTTAAGGCGAATTAATTACTTTATAAAGTGAAATCAACTGACACATGCGACGACCTTTATTTCGCATGAAACGTCATGTTTTACTAACTTTCATTCTACACGTGACGTCACGCGCCTCACGTGAACGTTGTTGGTTGTCTGAAATTCCCGCGGGAGGTCATGTGGCTGTGATGTCATGACCCTATTGACCAATCACAATTTTCCACTCAGCGCCACGCCGACGCCGGCTTTTCTGCGACACGAGCACCTTACCGCTATTGCGTAAAAAACTGTGCACAAACACTAACAAAGAAAAATTACTACAATTAATCATCAGTAAAAAAAGGTTGTCCTGACTTCGCTTAGCGATAACTTAGTCCCATGGGTACCTTTATATATATATATATATATATATATATATATATATATATATATATATATATATATATATATATGCAAATTCAGTAATTAAGGACTGACGCATTTCAGCATTTATGTGCCACAGTTTGTTTTCGGTGTGACCAGCTCCCAACCTTCAGCTACGCGGGTAGGATTATTGTCAATATATGTTCTGAGATTTACCCAACATTAAAAAGTTTGTATTTCTAAGTTGCTCTACTTTTAGGGTAGTAGTGAGCCTACAATCATATAATGAATGGGCATTTACGACATGAAACTTTAGATAAGGTAGTTGAGTGAAAATCAAACGGGACATTACCTAAAACCCTCAGTGTTTTCCTTTGTAACACCTGTAACTTTTCGAATGTCGTAAAAGTCGTTGTGCCCCAAACTAAGTTACAATCATTTAAATGGGAGTAGAAGAGAGAATTATAAAATAATAATTTACGTTAGTTGGTAAAATATAGCGACGACGTTTTAATATTCCCACGATTTGGATAGCTTTGGACCAAGGAACTTTATGTAATCATTCCAAAACATAGTCCAAGAGAAGGTAACACCAAGGAGTTTAAAAGAATCTATTTCAATGTTAGTTCAATTCAAACTTAGGTCTTTTGTAATGTTAACACTTATTTTAGGTCAAAAAAGCACGGCTTTCGTTTCAATCACATGTGTTTGTAACGCGTAATGACTCCAAACTAATGATCTAGAGAGCATCAGGTTTTAAGAATTTTAGGGCGATCCCTGGAAATCATTTTTAGTCGTTTTGTATGATAAAAAATATCGATATTGGGGTCGACAGTGGCCCATTAAAGCATACTCGATATACTTCTAATATGAAATTAGGCAGGTAGAAAAATTGAATATTCATTCACTCAATCAATTTTTATCTTTTTACAGATCTGCACATACATTATAAATTCCCATAAAAGCCTACGGGGCTTGTACGTAAGGTAGCGACATAACTTTGTCAGATGTAGACAATTTTAAAATACAGTGATATATCCAATCACTAACTTTTCTCCAGCAGAAATGAAAAACGACGATCCATACAGAGGTCATTTCTAATTCTTTCCATTCAGTCAATTTGCATAAGTTTAATATTATTCTTACACCGTAATTTCGAATAAAGTAATGTGAATGGTTAAAAATCGAGGAAATTAAACCAATTGTTTCGGCACGTATATATGAACCACGCGTCGCAGAGAGCTGAAACTCCTTGAGAATGTGACGCTAGTGGCAGTGATAAAATGCGAAAGTGTAAGCATATGACACTACCTGGATCAAAAGATACAGAAGAAAAAGAATTGTCTATGAGCCCATGTGCACCCAAGCCTAATATTCATCAAATTGAAATTTGAGATTGTGGGCGCGTGTAGCAATTATGGCAGTGAAAACAACTTAAAGAAAACAATATTGTGTTTCTAACTGTTAAGTTTTTTTCACTGGAATAAATGCAGCAGGCATCCACAATCTCAAAAATCGGTATGATGAAACTAAACGTAAGTAAACGGCGATTTTTTTATTTATTTTTTTTTACAGCGGAGCTGTCAATGGTTTGTTTTTCCAGGATTGTGTCCGGTACCAAACAAATGTCGACACAACACTGGTTGCCGCCGTCGCTCGTAGATCGCGGCAACCTTTCCAGCCTCGGCAACCAGACAACTGGTTGCTGCCGTCGCTCATAGAAGTCGGCAACATTTCTTCGGAGGAAGAAGAGCGGGAACGGAACGAGCGGTGATGTGCGCAGCAGCGCGAGCGGTTTCGCAACCGCCGCGAGGCCGCTATCGCCTAAAGTTCCACTACGTCGAGCGTTTAAAGGGGCACTGACACCCCAAAGGTCGTATTTATTTTTATTGTCTAAAACGATGCAAGTTGCAGCCATAAACACGCAAAACAAACCGCATCGCGAAAAAAAATTTTCCCGCGCGCACGCGCGCCTTTTTATTTTTGGCGTTTGATTTTCCCGCCCCTCGCCTCCTCGCTTCTTTTGATCGGTGACGTCAAAAATCAGGAAATTTAGAAGCTTTGTAGGCGGCATCTTTATAACATTTAATGACGGCAATCCTAAAACATGTTTTTTAACGCAATTGCGAACGCACTACGGCCCTTCTTTTTGAAATACCAAAAATCGGGAGTTCGTTGTGGTGCCGTCTCCTGGATTTGTATCCTCCAACGGAAAACAGGCGACACCGCTCAAAACCGGTCCGCCGCAACGCCGGCGCTAGCCGGCGCTCGCTCCTTTCCTCCTCGCTTTGGGTCGCCATGGCAGCAGCAGGGAGTGGTGACAGGAAAGGGGACTCTCAGGTCTCCGCAATTTTTGACGTCAAGGCACCGGCGCCGATCGCGCGGGAACTTCGAATTCGGCATTTGGAAATTGTTTTTTTACTTCACGAATACTGAATTCCCAAATTTCAAATTTTGAGGGTAATGTCCCGGCATCGTTTTCGACCGTTTCGGATAATAAAAAAAAATATGATTTTGATGTGTCAGTGCCCCTTTAAGGTTCCCTTGTGAAGGAAGAGCAGATCGGTCGCCTGGGAAGCCACTGCCGAGAAAAGAAGCTACAGCTCCGCTGCTCTTCCTTCTTCACCAGAGTCGAAAGGCTGAACTTTTTTTTTCTTTTGTATTTTTTTATTTAGCAAACTTTCGCATTTTATCACCTCCACTATCGTTACTCTTTTCACGAAGTCTCAGATCTCTGCGACGCGTGGTTTATTTAGGCGGACCGAAACACCGAGTTTCATCTCCTCGGTGTCACCCAGTATAAATATACGCACTGAAACATATCTTTACATAAGAGAATTCCCCACTTTTTCTAAGTCACATTATACAATTCAAAAAAAAAAAAAAAGAAGAGAAAACCCGGTAGAACAGTTGTTTATTCTATCACGACTTTTCATAGCCAAAACAATGTTTACGAGTGCTGCGGAGTTGCCTCTCTGTAGTTGAAATGATCCCGGAATCATTCTGCACTTCCGCTACTCCGGAATGGAAAGGGAATAAATTTCGACGTTGTTCTTCCGGAATGGAGCCAGAATGAAATCGGCTCGGTTCTTATGCGAGCTGCGTCGATCTTCACCTAAGCCTGCTGGCGCAACGCGCACGGTCAAAGAGACTTTTGAAACAAAACAAAAAAAAAACATCATTGTATTTAGGTGCGTTGCGGCTTGATTCGAGAATTTTAGAATAGGGTGCCGCAACATTTTGGGTCGCCCGAGCCGTTTGGGGCGTCTCACTGCGCATGTGCAAAGCGTTCGCGCACACGCAGTGAGACGTCTTAAGCTATATATCTGACTGGCTCTTGCTTCATCAGGGATAAAAGCGGTGAAGCGACCAATGTTTTAAAGTTCGAGACAGGCAAAAACTGTGGCCGCTTCAGGGGCTCGGAGGCAAAACGCCGGCCTTGCCGATTTCCGGGTGGACAGTTCAAATCCTGGCCGAGATGCCCGCATGTCGAAAAATTTCCAGGTGGTAGGAGCTAATAAGTCCTGGTCTAGGGCGTGCCAGATGCCCTTCGTTGGTTGTTTGGCACGTAAAACCCCCCATTTTACCTTCTTTTTTGACGAGATGTTTTTGACATTCGGTTGTAAGCAATGACTAGCGCGTGAACCCACCTTCACTAGTTCTACATCCCTGTGGCTACATTTCTCAGAATATGCTGATTGACAAAATGGTTCTTGTCAGGATCAGTTAGCTAATCGTAAAATTAGCCCATTGTGTTTAAAAAAAGCAATTTAGATAAAAAGTCAAAACCTTGAATACAAACAAGAAACGATTCTTCGAAGAAGCTTTGCGAACATTCTATTAATACGATAGAAAATCACCATGTCCTCAAAGAAACAATGCACTATAAACAATTTAAAAAAAATTACTGGAACGAAACGGTGTCTCGTATATTGTTATTAAAACCGTGACGTTTTGTTTCCTTTAATTCGTCTGATAGCTAGACTAATTGAAATTTGTCAGCCGTAACAGGTTCTTATCGACAAGTCGACAATCCTTCATTGAAAATCTCTGAAACGAAATGAGCCCCGTAGTTATACGCTATGAAATATCTCTGCCCATCAACTTTCCCGCGTAGAGAACGCATTGAGTAAATCAGTGAAATTCTCGGGGCACGATCGACGAATGACAATAACCCAAAAACGACTGAATAAATAAAAATAAATTATATGTTTTTTTTACATCTCGTTAATCACTTGACGGCTTTGCAGATCGTAGTAGTTTGCACACATAATGCTCTGTGGGAACGTGCGTGTGCAGGCATTTAATGCCCCAGTTCCACGGGCACCCTTAACCGCATTAAGGTGTGACTAATCAGACTTAACACCGGTTACGCGTGCCCACGGAACTAGGGCATTAGAGTGAATAGTTGTAATACTGTAAACCCTGTTGTATATACATTGTCCCTCCTTAACGCGTAATCGTCCAGTTGATGATGAGAGACGCTGTCAAGGAAGGTGGCGCCATCTGTCGCTCAGGAGGAAGTCTCGGCGGTCTTGCCCCGCTCCTCCTTCTCGTAGCTTCGGGCAAAGTTGATGAAGATCTGCTCGAGCGTCGTGTCCGACACCAGCACGTACTCGAACACGAACTGCGACTGCAACTCAAGCATCTTGGAGAAGAGGACACTCCAGGGAAGCTTCTCTTCCAGGCGGAACACAAAGATGCCCTGCGAAGAATGGGGATGGTCATTTTTTTTTCTTCAATACACTAGGTGGATGGATGAATGGTGGATGTTAACAGATGTGGCCTTTATAGCGGGTGGTACCTCGCGCCACCTAGCATGCAAACCAGAAACGCACTATTAGTTCCCCTGTCCTTCATTTCCCTTCCGTTCCGCATTTTCGTAACTATCTCTGCATTATTGTCGGAATAACAATATTCCTTGGCAAAACCTTGTCGGCGATAGCCCATCACCGGACCCACTGGGAAACAGGGTTGAGTCTTGGGGCCGGAGCCACGCCGGAGGGAGTCCCAATTTTTCTCTGTCCCGCCTGTCTCCCAGGTGTGCTACCCTGTTGCAGGTAAAAGTAAGACAAGCTCCTCGCGCGAAGCCCACCAGTCCTTCCACTCAGCAGAGTGAACGCCAAAGAGGAGATGAAACGAGGCAAGGGGGGACTCGCCTCCTCTCCGGTGTTCCATCTGCTAAGTGGAAAGCGTCTAGCTCTTCGCGGGAGGAACTTGTCCTATGGCTCTTCTAACCTGCAACAGGGTATGGTTGCAGTTCATTCAACCAATCCGGAAGTATGCGGCGCCCCCCATAGCATTTTCGACATGTTACGGCAAACCCGTGAATAGAAAGAGCGGCTCATGTTCGTTTAGCATTTTGCGATACTAGAACGCAAAGAAAAAATGAGGATAAGAAAACAAACAGGGCACTTATCGGCCATGTGATAAGTTCGCTCTGTTTTCTTTATGTTCTGAACTCGCAGTGGCAAGAGAGATGAACAGCTAGGCGGCGAGAGCTACCGCCCGTTATAAAGGGAGCGGCCGTTAGCATGCATCCATCCATCCATGGGGCACGAAGCGTCTGATTGAATCCCAGTCCTCGCCGAACGCTGACTCAGCTCTCGTGTCCAATACATGCTCAGAGGACACGCGTCAAAGCAATCAAGGGCTAAGATAATTGGCGCCGCAGCTACTAGATGGCACGCATTTTTGAAAATGGTCTATCGCGCTACTTTCGGGATCTACGTAGCGTACGAGTCAGCAGAGCGTACTTTGAAACATGCTAAACCCTGGTAAGGTGTCAAGGATCCTAAACACAACATTCGAAAACCCGTTCCACGTGCCGTAAAGTTAAGATGTCGCTTTGCTACAGCAATATTACACTTCCAAGAAAGAAGAGCATGCATCGATGGGCGCCTTGCCTGGTGGAAGTCCATGAGCTGGATGCCCGGGAACTGGGCCACGATGGCGTCTTCGACGCTCCTGCGCAGCTGGGCGTCCCTGCTCTGCAGCTTCAGCTTGATGGTGGAGCCCGTGCCGTACTTGTCCTTGAGGTGCTGGAGGGTGCCGAGGCAGCGGAACTGCCCGGCCAGCACGATGCCGATCCGGTCGCAAGCCGTCTCGCACTCGTCCATCCTGGAAGAGGGGCGTGGTGTAAAATATACACGCGCCGAGAAACCGAATGAGAGGAGAAGACGATATGACATACAAGCGCGCTCTTCGTGCACCGAGCATTTCTCGGAGCGCGAGTGACTTCTTCGCGCTCCGTGACGTGACGCCCACAAACAAGATGGCTGCGCTGACCGAAACCTTCTCGAGACGATGGGCGCGTCCAGACCACTGCCCCTTTTCTGCTCAATAGTGCTTACCCAAGCAGTTTTGTTCGTGCATCTCGCCTGAAAATGAATTCAGCTATCAAACGTGAAGTTAGACTCGTTGCACAACGGGAGAACAATTCGTGGACTGACATATTTGTATAGGATTGTAAATGGTATAATTGATTCACCGGAGCTACTCAGTCACATCTATTTGCACTTTCCTCGTAGGTCTTGTAAACTTTATACTTTTTTTTTACCCTACCGATTTTTACCATGCTGCACCCATGATACGCCTACAACTGACGTATAACCATTTAGAACAGATTTGTGGGAATGTTAGTATTGATATTTTTGATGGAGAGTGTAAATTTTGAAAGTGTGTTGAGACTGTTGTTTTGTCCTAACATTTTTTTTTTATTCTGTTTAAAATTTTACTACTAATTGACTCAATGATAATTGCACCGCTAAGGAGGCGTTAAGCTGTTGGTGGGTCACTCAAAATAACAACAAAACAAAACGGTAGCGTGCCGATAGCATCGCGACCAAAAAGTTGTCGAGATGAGAAGACATTCGGACCGCTGCCCTTTTTAGAATGCCTAGCCCAGCGAACCAAGATACTTCGATTGGAAAGCCAAAACATCAGATAGCGTTGCGGAAAAGGTTTGTTCATGCATCTCGCCCGAAAACGAGTTGGCGTGCTATCTATTAAAGGGTGGCGTGCCGGAATCGGCGTAGCACCTTGATGGAACCACGGAAAATCCGACAAGTTTGACAGTTTCCTGCGTCGACAAGAGGGAATGTTGTCTTCCATTTAAATCTGAACACCATGCATGGTAAATGAATAGATCTTTTTCCATATGGTGATGCCGGGTTCGTCATAACCGCGCAGGCGGAAGTGCGGTCCTGCGGCTCGTCGATAGTTTCGGTGTGTCGCGCTCCTGCACGCTATGCTCCGTTTAGTTGCCGCGTTCGGAGTATGAAACTCGGAGAGTCGGAATAGGAGTAAAGGAGCGCCGACTTAACGCGTCCAGCGTCGATCCGCCGTTCAGACGGTACAACTGAAGTAGAAAAAAATAAAAAAAGTGCATCGTTGCCATGCACCCGTGTGCATGTTCTATCAGACTGGAGCGTCTGCTGGGATTTTGACGGACGCTGGTTTCAACACCGCGCCAGAGATCTCTCCGCTTCAACGCGTTCATAAAACTGTTATTTCATTTAATTTATTATACCTTACGGGCCCCAGTGGGGAATTACACAAGCGGTGTAATGTACAAATGCATTTGACACATATAAGGTAAATACAAAAGAGGCAAACAACTTATCAAACGCTGTTCGCCTTCAATGATTACCTGCAACATGCTAATGAAAAAACACATGTCCAGTGAGCTCAGTTGAAAATAAGGGATGAATAATTATTATAACGAAGTATTACGGTATTTCATTCCAATCACTCCTACACAAAATGAGGGATGAATTTTTAAAAGTGTTAGTTTTGGCAAAAGGCAATTCGAGCTTATTACAAGGCTCATGACGTAGGGAGACTACCTGGTGAGCGAAATTCATGACCAGTCCGAGGTGTGCAAAACATGTTATGATAAAAAGATAGTCTGTCTACAGCGCGCCTGTGTTTAAGAGGAAGTAATAAAATCCAGCTTTTTTTTTGTATTGAAATATTTGAGGTTGAATCGTTGTGAAGAATGAAGCGAGTCGCGCGCTTTTGAATTGATTCTAACATGTCGGAAAGATAAGTCTTTTGAGAATTACAGATGGTAGAAGCATGTTCCAGCTTGGATCTGACGAGGATGCAGTATGAAAACTGTTTGACTTCTGAAATTTGATAAAGATGGCGTTTTAAGAATCCAAAAGCTTTATTTGCGCTTGAAGTTATGTGTCCAAAATGAGTTTTCTATTATAGGTAGGAACTTAAAAATGAACACCAATGTATTTAAAAGAACAAATATTTTCTAGTGGATGGAGCTGCCTTGCCACCATTGAACCATGAAACAAGGGTCAATGACGAAACAGTGTCTAAGCAACACGCGTAGCCAAAATGCCAAGTTCTACATGACCCAGCAAACCCAGAACACGACTTTCAAAACAAGCATGTCTTCTATAGAGAAGCATAGGAAGTCAAGTCCGCGATAGGCTACCATCAGCCGCATGTCGAGGAGCCATCTGGTGGCAACGCTTGCAACCAGTACGCCTTTTAAAAAAACAATGACACATCAATTTTTTTTTATTATTATTTGAAACGATTGAAAACGATGCCGGGACATTACTCTAAAAATTTGAAACTTGGGAAGAAACAATTTCCAAATGCCGAATTCAAAGTTCCCGCGCGATCCGCGCCAGTGCACTGACGTCAAATTTTGCGGTCTCCTGCGAGTTGACTTTCTCTCGGACCTCCGCTCCACGCTACAAAGTAAAGCGCCGTTGCCACCGCGACCCGACGCGCCGGCGGACCGACCGGGAAAAGACCGGTTTCTTCCCCCGACTCACCGATCATCTACGGCTCGAGGGCCGCCAAGTTTTCCGAGGGAGGATACAAATCGAGGAAGCGACATCACACCGGACTCTGATTTTTGGTATTTCAAAAAGAGGGGCCGTAGTGAGTTCGCAATTGCGTTAAAAGACATGTTTTACAATTGCCGTTATTAAATGTTATAGAAATGTCGTCTGCAAAGCTTCTAAATTTTATGATTTTTGACGTCACCGATCAAAAGAAGCGAGGAGGTGAGCAGCGGGAGAGAAAAACGCCAAAAATAAAAAAGCGCGCGCGCGCGGGGGCGATTTTTTTTTTTTTGCGTGTTTATGATTACAAGGTGCATCGTTTTAGACCATAAAAAATACAACCTTTGGGGTGTCAGTGCCCCTTTAAGGCAATAGCATTGCATGGGAACCCTCAACGGACCTTTCTTGCTTGTCCAAGTCTCACGGCATGAATGTCACAGGGTCACGTGACTTTACATGGTCACGTCAGCGGAAAGTAGACATTTAGGACTCGCATCTCAAGTGACATCGCAAGGTCACGTGAAATCACAAAGTAACTAGTAAAGTTTAAAAGACTAGAGATCAGGAAAATAGGTTAATTACTTTTAAACGTGATGGAAAACTTTACCGATGTCGACTAAAATTATACATATAATTTTCACATCACGCCGTTTCATAAACAAACCTAGTATAGAATGTGATGCGAAGTACTGTCGAATTTCAATCAAAGCCAGTGCAGTCATTTTCGTTTTAAGGTGCAGCGCTTACTTCTGCGACGTGAGGACGACGGACATGTCCGAGTAGTCCATGACGACCTTGAGGCCGGACAGCATCCGCCTCCTGGCGACCACGTCCACGCCGGCCGTGGGTTCGTCCAGAAGCACGAGCCTCGGGAGGCCGATGATGGCCACAGCCATGCTCAATTTGCGCTTGTTGCCCCCGCTGTAAATGCAACAGGCAGGGGAGGTCGGCCGGTTAGACCAATGGTCAGTGATCAAACCGTTATCCGCGTGCAGGGTGAAGATGCTCTCTAAGAAATCTGGAGCGCCTGCTCTCGCACAAAGCGCTTGGGAGAGACAATCACTGCAGCGATAGATGTTGGGGGCTCTTCCCCCCACTGGAAATGACGTCCGTTGTTGATGTTGATGTTGTAGTAGTAGTTGCTGTTGTTGATGTTGTAGTTGACGTAGTAGGGTGTAGGGTGTCCGTCGCTGGTGTTACCAAATCCAAAAAAAAGATCGCCCACCGCCCTCGGGGGTCGAACCTGGGTACGCTGCGTGCGAAGCGGAGGCTTTTCCAGAGGGCTCCGCCATCGCGTTAACAACCCGCTTTATACTTGGGGTTTTGTATAATACCTGATGCCAACTGCACGCGCTCTCTGGGAAAATACAAAGAAGTAGCTGATAACAAAATGCCATCGTTGTACTGTCGATGCGAAGAGCTTGCGTAGGGAGACGCGCTATCACCGTGCTCTTGAACAACAACAACAAAAACAGGAAACAAAAACACACGTTCGGACGAAAATGTTAAGATTCTATTTCGTTCCGAAGGCTTTTTTTGTTCATGGACCCAGCGGTGCGTGAACAAGACGTCGATGACCAACGACTTCGCCGTGACGTATCGCAGCTATCACTGACTGTGGGTTAACAGATTAACACAGGACTGCTGATTTTTGGTGTGTTTAAATATATTATTAGTTTCATTTTCTTCCGAGCCCTCTTCCTAGGTTGCAGCGATTGGTTTTTCCGAGTGTTTTGCGAGAGACAAGGCGCTCCAGAGTGTTTGGAGTGATGAGCTGATTCTCCGATTCCTTTTAGGCGTGGTATCCCCTGGACGACATACCCTCGAAAAAGGTTTGCGAGTTTGCTTCCTCGTAAAAGCACAGCCATTACGGTGATCAACAAATGAATCCCTGCAAATGACGAGGCATCGGGAAACATTTAGGCCTAAAAAATGCGACGTGCGCATGGACAATAAGCGCAACGTTTCACTTTCTCACTGTCCTTGAGCACAGTGACATTTTTTTAGACGTATTATTCGCACTCTGAGCTTTGTCATTGATTAGGATCTTTCTGCAGTTCGCTGTGATCGCCACTGTATTCTGCAGAAAATGGGACTCACGGAATTTCTTTAGGGGCATATATGAGCTGATCTTCCACGGCGCATGCTCTCATAATTAGCTCCCACTTATCGTCTGCCAAGAGCAAGAGACGATCGATCGCTTGGAATGCACGTTACGGAAGTAATGAAAGAGCTCGCGCATTATTCTTTCTTTCTTGGCTCGAAAAACTTGTGACAATGTTGTAAATTACTATTTTTCCTACACAGAGAATACGTTTGATCTCGAAAACACCGCAAAGCTGTTGCTCTAGTGAAATGCAGCTTCAGGGCCACCTAAGAGATGGCGCCAGCGTGCCAGTGTGCTCTCTTGTCATAAGAGATCACAAAAACTCGGTCGTAAGCAAATTCAAGCGTGTGAAAAAGACTTTAGAGTCCCAGGTGTCCGCTTTTTCAACGGACAATGGCCTGTGCCTGCTTCATTAGGCAGACAGGGTCACCGCTTTAGAGTGACGACAACGTCAAAGACGTGCGTCAGGATGCAGTCTTTGGGGCAATCCTGTGGTCCCGGGGCAGTGTTCCAACCTGTAAGTTCCACACCGGTTGTCCGCGATGCCGTCGAGCCCCATGAGGTTAAAGATGCTCTCGACCAGCTGATCGATCTTGTGGGTCGATACGCCGCGCAGGGATGCGAACAGTCTCAGGTACTCGCGGGCAGTCAGGGTCTCCAGCAGTCCGCCATACTGAGGGCAGTACCCGACCTTGGACTGCCACTGGAACATGAGGCATTCTCGAGAAAAGTCTTCCCTCTACTAGGATATCTGTACATATCCGTGGACACACGAAACACAGTCAACAATAATAAAGAAGGCTGCAATATAATAGCTTGGCGTCCAAGCCCTCCGATATATTCGCCAGTCTGCTTTCCCACAAAGTACGTCGTGGCCCGATCACTGCACTTATAAAATAAGACTTGCACGTGTCGTCAACGCACCGCACGTACTCAGCCCATTCCTACTTGTTATCGGTGAGAAAAACAAATCCTGTCCGTAATGAGAGCACAAGGTACGAGCTCAGCCTCAAGGCCTCCATCATGGCTGTTGTGACGTTAATGCAAGTCATTCATATGTAGCACTTACAGCCAATGACGAGGCCCAAAAACGGCATCATTCAGAAACGTAACCTGTAGAGAACAATGAGCTATCCATATATCATATTTATTATCACTGCACAGACAACATCTTTGACCGAAACCGTTTTTAGACTACGATATTCGTTGGATATGCAAGTATATTGCTATAGACATATTATCATGTGGTCAAACAGATAGTGAAGGCTATGGCACTTTTTCAAAAATCTGGATTAAACAAAGAATATAAACCGACATGATTGATTTGTAGCAGCTGCACGGACGGAAACGAGGACTGTGCGGGGGTGTCCTGGTACGTCTAACAAACCTATGGAAAATAACATGACTATACTTCGTTCCGCAAGGCGCAGCCGACACTACGAGTCGATGGGGGCAATAGAACAGTGCCAAAAAGCAACCAAACTGCGTTCGTCGTCCTTCGGTGAGAATAGAATGCTACCACAAGATGAACCAATTATGGACAATGAATGCGCCGCGACATTGCGTTTTTGGTTTGTCTGTCTGTTAGTCTTATAGCTTTTGACTACGCTCAGACTGAAGGTGAAACAAAGTTTAAGACAAACCGAGACAACCATCTTGTCTTATTCAGCAATTGGCTCGGCTCGTCTTCGCGTCCTTTGCCTACCTTCCTGGCTTCCCAAGACAGGATGCACCTCCTCATGTACGCCTCTCCGCGGCTCGCAGGAATAAGTGCTGCGAGCATCTGGAAGGCGGTGGTCTTGCCAGCGCCATTTGAGCCAAGGAAACCAAAGCACTCCTGCGGGCCGTCCGCGATAGATTACGCATAATAAAGAGGACTCCAAGACAAAACAGGCCTCCCTCATAAAGGCAACTAATTTATCGTTGCTTTCTCACAGAACCAAGTTCGCACAACGTAATTCATGTACCTGAGGCCTCCTAACTAAAAAAGCTGTAAATTGCACCTCAAAATAAAGCTACAAATTACACTGATCAAGTTTTAAAGCGCAGCTCTTAGGCGCCCGTTTCTAACTTGAGCGGCGTCGCCGTTGGCGTCGCCATCGACGTCGCCGTCGGCGAAACCGCGCGGTGCATTATGGGTAAATTTTCCCCGAGAAACCCGAGGTCCTCCATTAGGACCTCGGGTTCCTTCGGGAGGACCTCGGGTTTCTTCGGGAGAACCTCGGGAAAACCTCGGGTTCCTTCGGTATGACCTCGGGAGGACCTCGGGTTCCTTCGGGAGGACCTCGGGTGGACCTCGGGTTCCTTCGGGAGGACCTCGGGAGGATTTCGGGTTCATTTGGGAAAACCTCGGCTACCTTCGGTAATCTCGGGGAGGGGGGGTCACGTGACCCCCCCTTCCCCCAGGTCACGTGACCCCCCCCCCCCCCCCCCCCGAGGTCACATCACCCCTCCCCCTCAGTACCCTTCCCTCCTCCTCCTCAAGAGCTGCGCTCTAATTCGGCGTTACAGGGAGTTGTAAACGGTTTTCACTTTTTTTATTCCATAGCTTGCTGCAAGCCTGCCAGGCATTTTGACGCATTCTTTTTTTCTTTATCACATTAAAGAGCAGGACACAATTGAGTAGCAGAAACGAATTAAAGGGAGAAAATGCACGACAGAAGCGTAGTCAAATCAAGTGGCGTCATGCATTGTGTACGGTAGGACGCATATATTTACGCCGCTGTAAAAACCAGGTAAGTGTAATTATCCAAAATACTTGAACAACGACCGGCATCCTTCAATTCTAAGTGTAACGAGTGGCCTAATGTTTCAAGAAACCTTCTGGCAAGTTCAAAGTGGCAGCCGACATTCAGCATCAGTCCTGAAGAAGCTGTCTTTTAGCGACACATTCACTTTGAGGCTTCCAGAAGCGGTCCCCGCATTTGCGACTGCTTACGACCATTTGCATTAAAAGTTAAAATTACTTACAATTTTTTACGAAGAGGGTCGAGTTAACTGTATAGTCTAGAGGAGAGAACGCACTGGCGCCATCTATCGGGAATGTGTGGAACACTTGAAAGTTTCGTATATTTCCTATTTTTTCGCCGATCATTCTTTCTTTCTTGGTTTTGAAAAACTTTTTCTCTCAAATACCGCTAAGCATTCGCTCAAGTGAAATGCAGTTTCAGAATTACCACCTAGATGGCACCAACGTGCGTTCTCCCGTCTAAAGAGATCACGAGGACTCAGCCCTAAGCAAACGCCACTGTGTAAACGGGCCCTAACGCGTTACTTGTAGCGCCTTAGTACAAGCCTGCCTGTAGCACGAGATTATTCTCACCTTGGACAGGACAGTGAAGGACAGTCCCTTGACGGCGTGCACGGTTGCGAACTTCTTGTGTAGATCCTCTACCGTCAGAGCCGCCTTGGAGAACATCTTCTTGGACACGATGTTCCGCACTGTATCCTTCTCGGCCATCACGTCTCTATCCAGGCTTTCGTTAGCCTTGTGCTTGTCGGGGTCGTACGCCTCGCTGATGGGGAGGGACCCGGAGTCCAGCCAGCTGAGCAGGAGGAACAGCAGCGTCCCCTCAATGGCCATGACAATCACCTCATAGCCCACGCCCCTCTGGCTGAAGCCCAAAGGATGCACCGCTGACCAATAGTCGCTTTCTTCCTCTGTGGCTGAAAGGCGAAGAAAGATCAGACCGTGCCCCGCAGAAACTTCGAGGCACGTGTTCTTGTCTGTTTCATTCAAATGGCGCATTGACATAGCTAACTTCAACAAAGCGTTCTCTTTAATAACCATTCTCTTTAATAATCGTTAAGGTACGGCCGCATACTTTAAAAATTTGTTTATACAACGAAAGAACGTTGTTCAACCTTGAAGATGCGGCGACAGTGTACGATGTAGATTCAAACTTTAGTTAGTACAGTACGACTGATATCCCGGGGTATTTAACGTGCATCACGTGCATCACACGACCGCAGGCTGGTACGATACTCATCCAGATCGAAACGGGCAAGGGTGGGGTTTGAACTCGAGATCCCTGCAGGTTCAGCAGTGCGAGCTTTTACTCCACATGCTCTGAGCTGCGTTGCGCTTATCCACCACGAACTTAAGACTTGCACTGCGGTACAGGGAAGGATGGCTTTCCCTTGCCCCGTAAACGTTACGCTTGATGCAGCGCAATTCAATTGTAACCTCTATTGGCACACCCCTTTTGCAACAACTTTTTGTTGCGGCTTCTCCCAATCAGTCAAAAGATATTTCGTCAAGAGGGCAGAAGTATCCTGCGCTTACTAGAGCAGCAGTAGAGCATGTGTCCCCACATTTCGTTGCGCAGGTTTTTGCACTTGGCTTTGATGATGCTGTGCCTGTGCCTGAGGCAGACCCTGTTCTCCATCTCCAGCTTCAGGATCTTGATGAGGCAGCTGGGGAAGGCGTACGGCGGGAGCATCATGTAGACGTAGTCCAACGTCACTTGTTCGTCGCGCTCGTAGGCACCCGTGAGACCCGACAGGATGAGCAAGCTTGTACCTGGAAAACGGGACATCGTACAAAGGACCCGCAGTTCGCTGCAGTCATACGAAATATTGACTAAATTATACGGGCACGCGCCAAACGTGCTCCAGGTATGTTTGCTCCTTACATATGTAGGCTTCAAACATGTCTGTGCAGAGGGGTTGTTGTTTTTTGTATGACCAATATGATTGGTCATACAACCAGACAGTGACTGCCGACTCTCTTTTGTGTGATGTATTATAACAGTGTGACCACGGCTTTACGGAACTTAACGGCCCGTTAAGTTCAACCGCGGATTCATTGTTGCACAATAATTACTCAACGAGAACTATCAGAGTACAGTATGAACCTTTTTTGTCGAAGCTGTATAGCAGGAATGTCAAACACGCGACCCGCGACGCTTTGGAAAGCGGCCCGCAAGCATCCCGCTGATGCGAGCTCCCGTTCATATGCCTCGAGTGCCTGATGCGCCGTGAAAAATAGATTTATATCGTCAATTTATTTCCGCTAAAAAAAAAAATAAAAAAAAACACTGCTTATGTAGCGTATTCACTTATTTTGCACTAATCTGCGTATTGTTTTTTTAGTAATGCTTAGTCTAAACATTGGCTTCTCATTATTTTGTTGTCTAAACCAACCGGAATGGCAATACCACCACTGGGATACAAGCGCGAGCTCTTTACCCAAGGAGGCACCCCGGCTGCACAAACTTTTAATCAGAAGAAACTGCCAAAAATAAATCTGTAAGCTCGGGCTTTTAGCTGACATAAAAAGGCTTAAAGATTATTGTCTTGATATTCTTATAATGCTGCTATAAAAATCGCTAGGAAAGTAGAAACTGCCGCAGGAAGAGACATTTTGTATACCTGTTGATCCTAGTGAATATTTGACAATACAATGACGGTGTGCTTGCTCTCGTTATATTAAAACTGTCAGTGCTGTGGTGTGGCTGTGTTTTAAATCTCGTTATAACATCATCTGGGGGCCCAAAGTTGTCGTGCATGCAAATGAAAGCTAAAGACGGCAAAACTGTTAGCTTACGAAAAGCAGACAGCACAAGGTTCCTTGTCTAGATGTCGCTGGGATGGTCAGCTGCTTTGCAACGTGAAACACCAATGATTTTTTTTTTTCGCTTATAGCTCTGGCCCACAATAGCAAAATATTGCCTCCCCCCCCCCCCCCCCCTATCCCTCGCCCGCGTCCTTTTCGGAGGTGGGCTATCTGCTCCCCACACTCGAATGAGTTTGAGACCACTGCGTGTATAGGATAATGAGGCTACGTGTGCCTGGCACGTGACATCACCGCAGCATGCTGGTGGTCATCCCTGCCATCTTCTTGCCGACTAAAGAAAAAGGATTCTGCGGTCCAAAATGTACGCTGCACCACAATGGCGGCTAATTTGGTGTCAATGCAAGCCCCGTATTTCAAGTAATTTTGGGCGAGGCTGTCGTAATAGATCGCGTAAATATATTGACGGCAAGAGCTACGTCCTCCTCGAAATTACGCCCCACTGACTTTCAGTCAACGTGAACGGCAAGCTTGGCGGCGTCACGAGGTTGGAGTCAGATTGGGAGTGTGTCGCATCCCGCTTTACTTTAGGCTTCACCGCAGCCAGTCCTGCGATCTAATGGAGTCCATCAGGTAGTGCCAAAAGTGCGTTTTCTCCACGCTCACTTTTCTGTGGGTCCTTGGGTTCACCAGAGGGCGCTTGGGGCGGGGTGTAACTCATTCATTCTACGGTTGAAACTAGTGCCACCAAATAAGCTACGCTTCAGAGTAAAGACACTTGGCAATATTGTGTCTTAAGATCGTGGTTGCCAGTTATCTGAAGCTTTATCTCAAATCACAGGAAACGCTTTTCCGACCTCCACCTCCTAACACCGAATCTAATGCTGAGGAAGTTGCAATTTTGAATCATGACGATCAGCAGTTGCGTCTGCTCTGCATACGAGCCAAAATGGCGGCGCCCACAACAATGTCGGGGAACGGAGTGCCGAGACTCTAAGCGCGGCTCATTTAGTGACTCTAGTTTAAACGATATGAAAAAGCCAGCTGCGAGCGGGCGAACGCGTGGCTTACAAGGCCTGCCGCGCTGTCAGCCGAAAGCTCAACCATTATCCAGGTTTCGGCAGCTGTTCAGTTTTTTTGGCGTCACTCCCCACTTGATCGGCTGTTGCAGAGTTAATGCTGATTTTGTAGAATATAGAGGCGTTCCGGGCAACAGACGGCAAAATCAAGCCTGGCTGAATCCACCGGGTCAGCAGGTTGAGCGGGTGTCTGATAATAAGTTCGCGAGGCATATAAATGATGATAAGCGGTTTACTTTTTTTTCACCGAGCACTATACAATACTATCGGTGTTGACTCGGCGATCGTTTGCCGACAAAGTAGGGAGTAGCGGCAAAAGTCGAGCAGCCGCTGAAATGCCGCCTATTTGCACAATATGGACCCCCTTTGAAATACTGCCCTCTGTTGGCAGCTCTGGAATCTCTGCACTATGGCGGACTAAAACCGCAACGTCACGGAACACCTTACGCGTGTGGTTGGAGTAGAAGAAAAAAAAAACACCCACCGAAAAAATTGAAAGCCGTTTACAATTCCCTGTAGCGCCGGTTAGAGCGCAGCTCTTGAAGAGGAAGATGGGAGCATACTGAGGGATTGGTGACTCCTTGAGGTCACGTGACTTCAGGGGGTTCGTGTGACGTCAGGGGGTCACGTGACCTCAGGGGGTCACGTTACCTCAGGTGGTCACGTGACCTCAGGGGGTTACGTGACCTTAGGGAGTCACGTGACCTTAGGGAGTCACGTGACCTCAGGGGGTCACGCGACCACGTGAGCTCAGGGGGTCACGTGACCTCGGGGGGGGGGGGTCACGTGACCAGGGGGGTCACGTGATCTCGCGGTTACGCCGACGGCGACGGCGACGCCGCTCAAGCCGGAAACGGGCCCCTAAGAGCTGCGCTCTAAAAGGTGATGAGCGCAGTGACGTTGCACTGTCGACGCCGTTCGATTAAATTGTCGACTCCCAGCGTTGGCCGAGCTCCGACGTTCGATATCTTATGGAATGACTTGAACATTCCACCGTTCCACAATGTCCGTTGTTCCGCCATTGTGCAGTCGTTCCGACCTTCTAATAGTTGGCTCGCGAATTCCGGAAGGGGTCTTATCCTCGCTTATAGAGAGTTTTAGTAGATCGTTCCGATACCTCCGATAACGATACCCGATACTCCGCCACCGCCTCTCTTGAGCATGCTTAGTATCGTTATCGGGGCTATCGGAGGTATCGGAACGATCTACTAAAACTCTCTAATAACTCTATCGTTTGCGACTGTATACCAGGGTATGCATGAGTGAACTCTGGTTTATGAATCCTGCGTTGTCATCTCGAACCCTCACCGAAAAAGCTGAAGGTGATTGTGACGATGGCGAAGGCCCCGTACTGCGTATTTGCTCTCCGGGACAGAAGGTAGGCACACGGAAGAGCCAAGCCCGAAAACACTCCGATGACCACAATCAGGGCGACTGCATGAAGACAACAATAAATTATTACATTGTCACTGGAAAAAAAAATCCGCTGCAACAAACTGTAAGTAATACTCGAAGAAAGGGTAAAAACACAGGTGAGCCGGGTGAAGAACTTGCATAATAATTAGAGACACGGAATGATGGAAAAACGGACAAAAAGAACAAGTCTCAACAACAAGTATGCCTTCTACGATTGAGACTTGTTGTTTTGTCTGTACTTCTATCGTTCCGTGTCTCCGGTTAATATGAAAATACAAGTAATACAGCGTTTGTATTCGCCTCCATGCATGTATCGTTCGTTTATTTTGTTGTCTAATTCGCTCAAAACTCGAGTTTGCATCTATAGTGTGGAATTGTATAAATGATAAAGCATCTTGCTCTATCGAACGTGTACAGAATCGCTTAATTCGCATCGTTTTCGATCCTTCCTTTTTTTTTTTACGTAACTTTTATTATAATTATTGGCTGCTCAAGAGACTTGGTTTATCTACTTTGTTTGACAGACGGCGTTGTCGGTATATCTTGTTTTTACCCAAACTTGTCAATGGGCTTGTCGACTGTCCTGTCTTGTTAAGCGCTGTATGTTTTCACGCCCCACCAGATTCGAGCCGTAATCGCTATTTTTTATATCCACGTTTTTTTTTTTTTACACGTCTCCCCTAATACAAAGGCAGCATGATTTTAATAAGTTGGATTGTTCGCTCCTAGATATATTCAGTGACAAGTAGACTTTTCGGAGTAAATAATCCCAGAAGTTTGCAATTTCTAGCGTTTTTTTTTGTTTTGTTTTTTTTGTTTTGGGGTTGCTGATTGGTATTTTCAGTGCCTCGCTCTTCTTATTTTACCTTATCTTGCTTGTCAGATGTCAGATGGCACCTTGTGTTTTTCGTTTGTTTTGTGAGTACTTTCTTGGTACAGCCATGTTTTCTCTGTACTTATACTTTTATCTTGTCGGCAATTGCTGTGTACCACACAAAAGTCCCTGAGCTGTTTGTGGACACATAAAATAAAGACTATTATTATTATTATTATTAGACCTTTGCATCGCTTATCACCCGGGTGAAAAATGCTGAGTCACAGAGCTGTGGACGCTTTCACAGCGTCTGATATGCCGTACAGCAGAGCAACAGCGCATGCTCAGTAGTCGTTCCAAAGTCCATCAGACAAAGACGGCAGCGGGCAGAGGCTTTTTATATACCTTTTTGCAAAGGTCTATAAATGATAAATGTTTGTACCCTGAAAAAAAAAGTATATGTATTTCTATTTTTGTTTAGTGAATGTAGGCAACTATAATCATTGAGGGCGTGATATACTCTCCGGCATCTTATTATCGTTTGCAGCTAATGAATGTGGCATTAGGCCATCAGAACGACGGAAAAAAATCCCAAAACAAAAAACAGTGCGATGTTTTTTTTTTTTTTTGTTTTTTTTTTGTTGTAGGCAGTTTTTATATAATTGCTTCAAACAACGGAAGGGGTTCTACCGAATGAAAAGACTAAGGGTCAATAGACCGATCTCACCAGCCAGTTTCACTACGCTACCGCTGCCGCGATGCATGGAGGGAACTCTATTCTTTAAGAACGTGCGACAGCCTAGCTGGAGGTTGTCGCACCGGAGGGGGGGAGGGGGGTTAGATGCGCCCTAGTGATACAAGCGCGACGTCGCCGCCAAGCAGCGTGAACGGGGTGGGGAGTAGAGTAAAAATCGCTCCAGTGATACACACACGCGCAACGCGAACCCTTTGCCGGCCAGCGCAGCAACCGCCCGTTGCTATGTGTGAAAACACAGCGTCCTTATAGACAATTGCAAGCATGGCGCCACAAGTGGTGCCCCATGTGTGCAAGCGCGTGCAACGCGCGGGTGAACGTAGCTTTGGCAAGCTCGTAATCGCACGGGCGTGCCCGCTCGAGCAGAGACATGGCGGCGGCCAGTCGCCCAGCTTGCAATCGTCTATAGAGCGCAGCTCTTAGGCGCCCGTTTCCGGCTTGAGGCTGAACTCCATGGGGCGATTATGCTGCGAATAACCGACGAATCTTGCCCGGCGGCTTTTGCTCTGCGCGTGGAATCAACACAATGGCTGCTACGTCGCGCACAAAGCGAGCGTGCCGTCGGGCGGCGTTCGCCAGTTATTCGTCACCCCTACTGAAAATTCTCATTTGTATGAGAAATTCCTTGTGTCCAATAAACACATATGAATCATACAAGATATATATGAACATATAAGAACCGTATAAGAACACTATAAGAACTATATAAGTATATAAGAACTATATAAGATATGAGAACATACAAGCACCATATAAGAAACTAGTGGGAACTTTGTTATAAGTTTCTTATGGGGTTCTTATATATCTTATATAATTCTTATATAGTTCTCATATAATTCTTATATGGTTCTTGTATGTTCTTATATATATTGTATGATTCATATGTGTTTATTGGACACAAGAAATTTCTCATACAAATGATTTTTTTACTAGGGACATACTTCGTTCCATGGAGTTCAGCCTTTAAGCGGCGTCGCCGCCGTCGGCGTAATTCTCGTGAGGGTTACGAGGGTTACTGTCACAAGGGTTACCCCACTGATCTCTATGTCTATTTGCTGGATCGCGTTTGACCAGCTCCTCCTATGGACCGGAATGCGGTCACTGGCGGCCATCTTTAGGTAGAGTTATATCATCTCTAGCCATCATAGTAATATGGCGGACAGCGCAATGGCGGCAGGCTGCCATAAGAATAGCCGTAGATCTAGTACACTGTACCGTGGGTGACATTTCGTGCTTGATTGAAGTTGTTCGACGAAGCAGATTCTTGAAACCCGGCGTGAACGGTAGCCTCATCTTTGAGGACCCGGCCAAAGTTCTACGAAAGTGCAGCACCGGGGGAAAGCAGCGCAGCTCGCATCAAAAGCAGACTCCGTACCGTCGTCTGCTTTCGATGCTTCTTTCGATGCGACTTTCGATACGTGCTGTGCTGCTTTTCTCCCGGTGCTGCGATTTCGTGAAACTTTTACCAGGTCCTCAAAAACCGGACTACTGTTCACGCCGGGTTTCAAAAACATGTTTCGTCAAATAATTTTAATCAAGCACGCAATATCATCCACGCTATTTTGACCGCAGCCTGCCAACCCACCTGCCAAAACGCTATCTGCCATGGATGAATGATAGCGGCTGCAGCAGCTTACATTGGCTAGAGGTGATATAACTCTACCTAAAGATGGCCGCCAGTGACCGCATTCGCGGAGCGGGCAAACGCGATCCAGCAATTGTCATAGAGATTAGTGGGTTACCCTCACGAGGATCACGACGGTTACCCTCGAAACTCTCGTGAGAGTAACCCTGGTAACCCTCGTAACCCTCACGAGGGTGACGAGGGTTAGTTATCCTCAAAAGGGGTACCCTCACGAGGGTCACGAGGGTTATGAGAGTTACCCTCACGGGGGTCACGAGAGTTACCCTCACAAAGGTTACTAGGGTTACCCTCACGAGGGTTGCGATGGTTACCCTCACGAGGGTCACGAGGGTCATAAGGGTTACTTGCTAAGGTCACGTGACCCCCCTGAGGTCACGTGACCCCCTCAGGTCACGCGACCCACATGTAATGTGACCCCCCTTAGTTCACGTGACCCCCCTGAGGTCATGTGACCTCAGGGAGTCACCTATCCCTCAGTACTTTTCCATCCTATCCCTCAGTACCGTTCCATCCTCCTCCTCAAGAGCTGCGCTCTTCCGGCGTGACAGGGAGTCGTAAACGACTTTCATTTTTTTTAGGAGGAGCCAATCAGGCGCGAGCGGTGTTGCCATGCCGCGTATCGCCTACCGTTTTTCCAGTACGCCTACCGCGTCTCGTCGGAACTGGAAATATTCTCTTTAGGGACCTCTGGCTACTGGGGGCAGGGGGAGGGGGATTAGGACTGCATTCAATTTAGTTCAATTCAATTTCATTTGTTTCTCTTCGTACAAGAAGAGACGGAAGATGGGAAATTGAAAACTTTCCGCCAATGTCTGTTCGTGGTAGGTTCAGCAAATATACATAAGGTAGCAAAAGCACAAAGATGACACAACGAGCGCCGTGAGGAAAAACTTTCGGTAGCGATTCATTGGCTCCATCGGATCATAGCGTTCGCTGCGGTTTTTCCTCATGCTGCCATCTTTGTCTATGCATGGCTGTGAAACGGGTCCTGGGTTGCTCTTCAAAATATCAGACACCACGGATGCGTCCATAGCTTAATGACTCGGCATATTTGGATTGCGAGATAAACGCTGAAACTGAGTATAGGAGGCATTGCGCCAGCACACTAAATAAAATCCCCGGAACAACGTTAAAAAAAAGATACAGAGCGCTTGGTTAGAGGGACAAGCCGATGAATTAGTCCCCACGATTACGTATGGAGTCAATGAAGAGCTCGACGTATTGGACCACGACCATCGCGGCGAAGATCCAGATGACCCAGTACACGACAAGGTCGAACATGAGGTTGGAGCCCCAGTAGGCGCTCCCCGACATGCCGGTCATGAGCTGCAACGTTTTGGCCTGGCACGTGCGCTCCGCGACCGGGAAGAGGACGAAGCCGGCCACGATCAGGGACGTCACCACCGGGAAGGAGAAGCTGCGGAAGACAACGCTCTTGCGGATCATCTCCGAGGCCAGATCGACGTCGTGCCGGTCGCTATCGACCGGCTGCTCATGGACCACGACGGTGGCCGACAGGTCGGCCGTCGGATTGCCCGTTCGGAGTCGGAGCAGCGCGGTTGTCAGCAGGTTCATCGCGACGGCCTGGCTGCCGTTGGTGTACGCGCTGTACCAGAGTTCCACCCTGTGGACGGATCGGGGATGGCAATCGTGTCACTGTGATGTGCGCACTGTGGGAACGGCGCACGTATCTACTTCGCTGCAAGACCTTTTCAAACGAGCGATGGAAGTTTCAGATTCAGGTCGAAGAACTCTAAATACATAAGAATGATTGATGTGTCCACTTCGCGGGAGAGTACTGCCCAACTAAGAAACAAAAGTAACAAAAACAAATTGCAGAATTCGAGAAAAAAGTTTAAAATGAAGCCTCACTATGTTTATCGATGTTTCACTTGAAGACACCAAACGACGTTATAAGCCCGCAGTCATACTGCTGGTACACCATGTAAAAAACAGTCTGCAGACACTGTGTGATGCTTGTTTCTTGCTTTTATGTAACATTGGTTATAAAAATGCTTTATGTCACATTGGTTATAAAAATACTATATGTCACATTAGTTATAAAAATACTGTCTGCAAGCAGGTTCGAAGCATACACACGTATGAAGCAAACGTTCTTGGGGTATGTGTGAGGCGCAGATAATTCTCCCAACGTGTCTGTCGCGAACACTTTGTCCTTTGTATGATGTATGAGCAGTGTTACTGAGGCTTTAGAGGGTTTCACCATGTTTCGCCGTCTTATGGTGAAAGATTCGACAAGATGCTCGGCCTTCCCAGTAGCTGTTTATTTATTCTTTTCGGTGTGCACGAAATTTTGCAATAATCTCCTTCAATGCACCACGATCTCTGCAGGAAGTCGCCTACACGTAGCTATCAACGGGCGAACGTCGCGAACCACGACATACAAGTTTTGTAACAGCCCCAAGAAAAAGACTGCGCCGCTTTCCCGGTGTGCGCGCAGGTTCATGTCTTCCAGCCAACCATCCATACGACTAAACCTGTCCAGTTGTAATGAGCTATAACTGAAAGGAAGTATATCCTGTCCTCTCATTTATGCCATAAAAAGTTCCGCCAATTCCTTGAGAACTATCTCCATATACAGTCATCGCAATTACGACACCCTAGTGCGACGTCACCCGGCAGAAAATCAAGAAACGAAATTACGACTAGAAAAACACGCTAGTCAACGATGCGTTGATGCATTCGGGAGCCCCAATGCGCAAAAGGGAAACAGGCGGCAAAAACGAGCGCACCCGTCCCTCGTGAACGCAGCTCCGAGAATGTAGGTCTGGGTGTACCCCCAGAAGTCCATCGCTGCCTCCATGAAGAGGCCCCGTCTGGCATCCGTGAAGTTACGCACGGTGGCATGTCCTCCGGACACCGTGAGCCGGACGAACATGTCTGCCAGCTCCTGGTCTCTTCCGGTCTCCTGAAGCACAAACACTCGTGCACCAGAAGGCTTGATGGCGTCAAGCGTCACCGGCAAGGTCATCTCGCCGGGGACCTCGCTGGGTGGCTGCGGCAAGAGCAGGTCCTCCACGACGAAGATGGCGAGAATGGCAAGGCAGGGCATGATACACGACACCAGGCAGAGATCCCACGAGCGCGAGAAGTGGATGGCCCTCTTGATGAAGAGTGCCTTCAAGCACGCAGACGAGACGGGCTTGTGGTGCCTCGTTTTGCCGACCACTTTGGCATCTGAAACAAAATACGCAAGTAGCACGCCAGAGAAACGGCTGACGTTTCCTACAATGACATCTCACGTGACGTCGCCTGTGACGTCACTGGGATGACGAGTGACGTCACGAAGGTCATTCATGAAGGTCACGACAAAGGCCACGACCTTCACAGTGACCATCACGAAGCCTTCACGAGTGGCGTCACGAGGGAGGAGGGAGGGAGGGGGAGGGGGAGGAGGGGAGGAGGAGGGGAAAAGAAGAGGATGCCCTTCTTTCCGTAAATAGGAGGTAAAAGCGCTAAAAAACGACGGACAAGTTGAAGAATGACGAACACCACAGAGCGCTAAGCGCTCTGTGGTGTTCGTCATTCTTCAACTTGTCCGTCGTTTTTTAGCGCTTTTACCTCCTATTCATGAATAACCAACTAGCCCAAGTACACACCCTTCTTCTTTCCGTACTCTCCCTTCCTCTTCCTCAAGAGCTGCGCTGTAATTCAGCATTACAGGGAATTGTAAACGTCTTTCATTTTTATTTTTTCCTCGCTATAGAAGTGCCAAAGTACCAGACTTGGCCCGATTATGCCACGTATGATCCGAAGGACGAGCAGTAAAGCCAATCTAGCACTTCTTTGGAAATTTAGTCCCAAAAGTTGCTTCATCAAAACCGAACAACCAGAAGTGAAGTCGAACTCTGGCACTTGTTTGCGAAATTAGGGACAAGATACTCAAACTCTGGCCAAAGAAAGTCAACCTTTGCTCTACCCGTCTTCGGGCTTTTTAAAGAACTAAATTTCCAGACAAATACCACATTTTGGCACCAATAATTGTGCTGAACAAAACCTGAATAGTTTCCGTTCGTGGTCAGGAAGAGACCACTTATCTCCCAAACACGAACTGTAATCTCAGTATGCCTGCGCCCAGTAGGTGATCGCAGTTTTATATATCTTTTTTTTTTTTTTTTGTAGACAGCAGAGTCAACCACTGCCACACAATGTGGGAGCTGAGGAAACATATAACAAAGTTTAGAAGGTGTGTAAATGCCCTCTATAGTCGTATTGTTTTATTGCCAGTGGCCTCTCCCGTGATTAGTTCATCAGGACGCCTGTGTAGCGGAAAGATAAGCAGGCATTTTATTTAAAATGAAAGGTAAAAAAAGTAGCATGTGAGAACTTTTTTAAGTTATGGTGAGCGCGTTGGTGATGATATTTGGGAACTTTTAGTTCTGCGTCGGAGTAATTTCCGAAGGTTCGTGTTTCACGGTCCTCCGATGCGCGGTAGATTTAACACCCTTAGAGGCGAATGAAGCCCCGAAAATCTGAAGAATCGTGAAACAAGAGGCAAGCATATAAGAGACCGGATCCTCCTTCTTTCCCTTCCCAAATTTGTCTTTGTGCTGTCACCATAGTTCTTTAGTGACGCGGTAATTGCCCTATTTGACGACCTCTATCCAGACATGTACATAACCCGTTACTAGTAACGAATCATATAGTAACACCTGAGACTGTGATGTAGAAAAGAAAAAAAGTTTGTTTTCTTTTCTGTGCCACACTTTCAGGTGTTAAACGACATGCTTAGATACGACCAGCTCGCCTGCACACTTAGTCTTTTCACTAGTAACAAGTTACTTCTGCCGACTCTTCAACTCCTCAACGTCGCCGGAGATGTACTATTTTCAAGGAAGCGGGGAAACATAACCGATGAAAGCTTGGAGAGTCAGCTACTGCTTAAATGTAACGACTACTGAAAAGAAAACAATAAACCACGAAAAAGACCAGTCGTACTGTATTTGGTCGTCCAAGTAACGAGAAGGGTGACTCGTTACATTTGTGGTAAAGTAACGCATTCCTTTTGAGAATCGGTAAGGAGTAACGGTATTTAGTTACTTTTCTTGGTAACATGTACATATCTGCTTCTATCGTCAGTTCGATCGTGGTTGCGCTACAATTCCAGCTTCACTTGAACCATGAACTACCGTACAGCTTTTGCAACGGCCACGGGTACTGTATAAGTAAATTCGCAACTATATATACTTAACTGGAGCAAATACTACGCCTAATCTTGGCATATATTTTTATGTGCTCGCACATACGTTTACACTAGTATCGGCAGCCTTTTTATGGTATTTCTCGGGTTCACAGAAATATGTCACAGTGCTATTATCCGCATATGTTTCTGCATTAAAATTTAATCCCGTGGTTCTGTTAACTTTGTTCATAATATTACGTACATTATTGGGCTCATAACTCGAGTTAGGCATACACTCACCCTCGTAGATGTCGGAATTCTGCCCTGTCTGAGACGCTGCTGCGAAGTGGATCCTGTTTGACAACACATTACCATTATTACAGGGCGCACAACATTACCCAATTTAATTTTCGCTTTTTAAAGCGCGCGCGCTTATAATAAATTCAATTATAATCGTTTGAGTTCGGACCTGTATTACAACCGCCATCCTTTCGCATACACAGGTATTGGCAAAACTACATGAACGCTACCAAGACCATGCTATGCCAAGAAAAACGGGCGTCTTGTATTGACCCATCGTCGCCACTCTAAGCCACTCTGGATCCCAGCAAAACACGAGAAGGCTATGTATACGGCAGATTTTATTTACAGCACGCTGAATGCGCCACTCAGACTGACATCCAAATTTATATATTTATTTATTCATTTATTTTGGATTCTAGCAAACGCAGTCGCCGCAGTCGCCGCGTATCACTTTTTGGCCGACTAGATAGCTGCGTCCTCCGAGAAGAATTCAATGAACCGAATCACGAAGCGTGAACACAACGGGCCCTGCAATTTGTACCCTGTCAGCGAGTCTAGGAATGTTGAACACCTCGTGACTAGTTCCTCATTGTTCTCGTCGGGTAATAATACTGCATTCAAATACATCGCGTATAGGATAATGATCGCGATGGGCTATGCATTCCGATATTTTCACTAAGATGTCGTAGTGAGTACGTGACTGAAGAAAATGCTTACTTGATGTACACGTCTTCGATGGTCGACAGAGTGACGCCTATGGTGTCGATGCCCAGCTGGTCCTTCTTCTCCTCCAGGGCCCGGAACATGACGTCGAAGCCCGTGAAGTGCACCACGTTCAGGCGGATGAGCACGTCGCCCGCCCTCTCCTCGACCAGTTCGGCCTCCGGCGCCGTGGCCACGATAATCCGCTGGATCTGGAGCAGGTCGAAACCCGCGCTCCTCTTGGTGATCCTCACCTGGTAACCGGCGCCTGCGTTTGGGCCGGACCATAATGGACAGTCACGGTCCGAGCAATAGAAGATCTTGTGCACGTTACCAAAACGCTAACATTTGTTTCTTCGTGATTTGTTCTATGCGGTTCTAAAATGCGTCTTTCGGGCATCGAAACTTAAAGAATGGCACGCAAACTAAATGGCAACATAAAGAACGTGTGGAGGACGCACGATGACAAGGCAACCAAGTTCGCGCCGTCATTGGTGGATATCGGAGGAAACAAACACATGTGGGTGCATTTGGGGGATAACCAAACGCACGAGGTGAGAAAGGAGCTTAACAAACGCAGGACACTATTTTCTAGCTTCTTGTAACATCTTCAAGCTTTCTGCTCCGCGTTTTCTTCTTTGACGTTTTTTTTATCGGCAATGCAGCAACCTCATTGGCTACGGAGCGATGACAATGTGCTCGGGGGCCAGTGGTGTTAAGCTCAAAGAATAAATACTCCAAAATATGCAGATTAATGAACCATACTCTCTCGAATGAATCAAAGTTTCAACTTTCACGAAAGCGCTGAAAGACAGAATATTCGGCAGAGCCAGGATTTGAACTCCGCGCCTCCCGATGTCCGGTCGTGCCTGCTAACCACTACACCACTCTACCTTGATCTTCTGCGGTTTCCTGTCGTTCTAATTAATGCAAAGAAAAAAACTGCATCCAATTAGAGGTGATCTGGGAGCACACAGCGGCGCGTGGAACGCGGTACGACACTTGCTGACACGTCGTACGTGCTCGTTGTGCTTCGAAATTCCTCTCGGTGTTTGTCCCGTCGCGTGCTCATGTATTACTTTTGGTTTGTGATATTTAGAGGGACGGTTTCATCATCTGCGAGATTCAAGAGCCACGTTTTCGAATATATCACGCGCACTTTCATCATCGTATGCGGTCCCCGAAGAGGAAATGCAGATGATAAAACCCTACTCGATTGAATGAATCAAAGTTTTAAAAATATTGGCACGTATGCCACGTGCCGGTTTTAGATATCAGCAGCATTGAAGTTTTCATATTTCTCTTCGTGTACCGGAGTAAGATTAATTTGGAACATGCAACATTCGGAAGAGGTGACCTAGGGTGTGCCTTGAAAACAGGGGGAAGAATGAAAATGATCATGATTTAGATCAGGCCAGTTTTACTGTATGGTTTTAAATCAAACCTTCCCACCAAAAATAATCACAAGATTTTTTTGATTTTTTTTTTAACGTGAAACATTTTTTGTTTGATTTTCATCGTTTCATGAAGCCTGGATAAAAGCACGGTTGTAAAGTTGGACACTGAAGTGATTTAAGTGTGTGTGTGTTTGTTTGTGCGTGTGTGTGGGGGGGGGGGGGGGGGGAGGGAGGGGTTATCGCCGTTCTGGTCATTGCAGAAAAAAAAAGCGTTTGCGCCAGGCGGGAATCAAACCCAGACCATTTTAGATTATTAAGCGAGTGTCTTTTCAGCATGTCAGAACAGATAGCCGTGAGTTGAAATGCCATTTGGCAGGAGAGCCCTGCGGCGCATTCTGCGTCCAATAGACAGCAACTTGACACCCTGTCACATGTTTTTGAAACCCGGGTCAGTGCCGGTATCTCCATTCCAGGAATTGCTATCGAGTGTACACGCCACGTGTTCCACGTGCAATACAATTGTCCAGTAATTTCCTACTTACCGTGTGTCTATCCTTCGATACTTTTTATGTAAGTTTGTTTTGTATTGGGGGAAGTCGACGAATCGACAAGCAAGAAGGGTTCATATAAGGCTGAACACGAGCAAAAAACTTGGAGGACGCTGAAGCTTCGCCTTTAAGAGTGGAACGCGGTAGCTTTATCGGGCCCCGTTCGCATCGCCATCAACATCCGCTTCTCATGCTCGTGCTGCCAGTGAGCAAGAAGTGCGATGGACACGGTGGCCTAGACGGCAATAAAGAAAGAAAAAAAAAAAAGACACGGTGGCTTAGTTAGTACTAGCGTGTTCGGTTCGCAACGGGAGGGTCGTGGGCTCGAATCCCGCCTAATACTATTTAAATATTTCTTTATGCGAATGAATTACTTCATAAAGCGAAATCATTTGAGACATGCGGTGACCTTTAATACGCATTAGATGTCGTATTTTTTAATCCCTTTGCTAAGCGTGACTTTATGTGACGTCACATTCAACGTGTGACGTCACGTTTCACGTGAGCGTTATTGTTGAAATTCCCGCTCGAGGTCATGTGGCTGTGACGTCATGACCTTATCGACCAATCAAGATTTTCGCGTCCGCGATTTTTTCGTCACTCCACTGATGCCGGCTTTTCTGCGGCACGAGTTTCCTTAACGCTGTCATGTTAAAGGAAGTGCTCTTCTAAAAAAAAACCGGAACGTTGAGCTTGATTCCTACCTTTTACTTCCTTCGTCAGCTACGTAACATACCATCGCAACAAAGTCAGAACGCAAAAAAAGAAAAAAACGAACACTAGAAACGTAATGAACTACTATTGAAGCAAAGTCAGAATTGGAAGGAAAAATTAAATCATTTTTAATGCTCCTAAAAATCGAGATGTTTTTGTTCTAGTATGGTTGGGATTGCAGCAATATAAAGTCGTCAATGAAACTGCAATTTGCATTTAGAGAAATTATTTTTTTTTTGAGATCGGACCAATTGATCAATCGACCTACCATTTAAAAAAAAAAGCATCTACTGGTAAAAAAAATCGCTTTATTTTCGCTGCAGTGATTAAAATAAAAATAATTTGATCTAATTGGTTTTTTTTTTCAAAACAAAATTATGGTGCTTTTTGCCTTGATAGAAAATAATGAGAGCTAGTACCTTAGTTACCTAGGAAAGGAAGCATATCTTCCAGATTAAGACACAATAAAGTAAGCAATTAGTTCAGTTGGTTTTAAACTTACTAAACGGAAGTTCATATAGAAAGAAATATCTATGTTGCTTCGTCCTATTTCACCCCCATAAATTCGGGTTTTTTCGCCTCTTCTTTCGTGGGGCGTAAGAACTACCATCTCACCGTACTCCCTCATGAGGAAGGGCGGCGACCCGCTGCACACGAGCGCCCCCTTGGCTAAGACGAGGATCCTGTCCGCGAGCGCGTCGGCCTCCTCCATGTCGTGCGTGGACAGAAGCAGGGTGCACCTGCTGCGCAGCTCCAGGAGCAGGTTCCACATGGTGCGACGGTTCTGGGCGTCCATCCCGGACGAAGGCTCGTCCAGGAACAGCACCTGCCGAGCGCCAGATTAGGGCTACCGAAGTATCCCGAACTAACGCCCAGTCCCGAAAGATCGCCCACCCCGTATTAGAGAATGACGTCGCGTGACATCCAGTCTGGTGACGAGGTGACGCCACGGCACGTGGCCACATGGTGTGACGTCAGGTTACGTGACATTAATTTCCCCGCTAAATACAGCGGAAAAACATAGCGGGAAGCTTATTAAATATTATGTATTATGGGCTTCTTCACTGCCTGAAACGACTGTTCAATGTTTTAGAGCGCAGCTCTTAGGGGCCCGTTTCCGGCTTGAGCGGCGTCGTCGTCGCCGTCGGCGTCGGCGTCGGCGTAACCGCGCGGTGCATCATGGGAAATGTCCCATAATGCACCGCGCGAGCCCCCCACCGGGGTCACGTGACTTCGTGGGGGGGCACGTGACCCCCCCGAGGTCACGTGACCCCCCGAGGTCACGTGACTCCCCTGAAGTCACGTGACCCCCGCCGATGTCGCGTGACCCCCGATGACGTCATCGACACTGATGACGTCACCGGCATCCACATCGTCATCGTCATCATCACTGATGACGTCATCATCAGTGATGACGATGACGATGTGGATGCCGGTGACGTCATCAGTGATGATGACGATGACGATGTGGATGCCGGTGACGTCATCAGTGATGATGACGATGACTATGTGGATGCCGGTGACGTCATCAGTGATGATGACGATGACGATGCGGATGCCGGTGACGTCATCAGTGATGATGACGATGACGATGTGGATGCCGGTGACGTCATCAGTGATGATGACGATGACAATGTGGATGCCGGTGACGTTACCGACATCCGCATCGTCATCATCACTGATGACGTCATCAGTGACGTCACTGATGTCGTCACCGGCATCCGCATCGTCATCGTCATCATCACTGATGACGTCGTCAGCGACGTGACTGATGACGTCACCGACATTCGCATCGTCATCGTCACTGGTGAAGTCATCAGTGACGTCACTAATGACGTCATCGGTACCCGCATCGTCATCGTCACTCAGTGATGACATCATCGGCATTGGGGGTCACGTGACCCCCAAAATCACGTGACCCCCCCCCCCTGGTTAGTCTAACCCCCCCCCCCCCCCAGCGCCCTTCCCTCCTCCTCCTCAAGAGCTGCGCTCTAATTCGGCGTTACAGGGAGTTGTAAGCGGCTTTCACTTCTATAACACGAATTTAAAGTATTGATCTTTGAATATTGCATTCCATGCATTACAAGACTTCTGCTTTTTTTTTAGGGGGGGGGTTTGGTAATCACTTTTTTTCGCATTGGGGGGGGCGTTCGTTTCTTATTTTAATTATTAAATAAATAGCACGATCACAAGCCACTACAAAATGGCCCAGGCAGCTGCTAACGCTTCTTCACTTTTTACAAGAAACCTTAAGAAAGGCATAAAACAATAAACAAACATGATAATGTTATTAACCAGTTGGTATACAGCTACTCAGACAATCTCAAAATTCAGATACACATACGTCCGCCAATGCTATCAAAAGTTCTTTCAGTGCCGTAATAATAGCGGTTATCGATTATTGAAATGTTTAACGGTAAACTAATATTCATTAATAGAGCAAAATACAAATATTTTAAACGTTTGTTACGCACTAATCTATTGTAGTACGTGGTGCTATCAGAGTTGGCAAATATAATAAAGAGATTTAAGGTGGCTGATGTGCCTACCACTTATAGTATCAGCTATGACTAAAAGTAGGCATCGATGTGATGTGAAAGGCTGGGAGTATCACCTTTGGCTTCGCAACGAGAGCTATGGCAACTCCCAGTTTCCGTTTCATGCCGCCAGAGAGAACCTCGGGAAATGAGTCGGCTTTATTCGTCAGCTTCACCTCCTGGAGGATCTTGTCAGTCATGGCGCCCAGCTCGGAAGAACCGACGCCCTTGAGCTGAGGAGACAATGCTCTCGTTAAGCTTTAAAGTGTCTTTTTTTCCCCCGAATGTTGAACACACTTGCTGGCAGCAAAACTGTGGCGTGCTTTATAAATATAAGGTATATTTATTTGCCGACACGCTGATCTTTTGGCTCGCAGTTAATTGATGCCGAATCCCCAAATTTATTGGACACCAACGGATGTCCAACAAAAACAAACATATCCCCGTAAATACTTTAAATGACAGCCATAAAATATCATTAAGCATTAATTAAACTGCTGGACGCGCATATACTTTCTATGCCACGCCTCTGCGGTTTCTTTGCACTGAATCCTGTAGGCCATATTCACAAAATGATCGATTTCTGCTTTTCTTGTTCAGTAATCTAGGGGACTTGCAGTGTTCTAGGGGACTGTAATTGTCTGGTGACTGTAGTCGTCAGGTGACATGGCGTGTTATATACGCCGCGGACAAAGAGGAAACCTGAGTTATCTTTGCTTCTTAGGACTCAGTGCGGCTCAGAAACGAGATTGAACCATAGCAAGTGTAGTTCCAGAACAACAACAACAAAAAAGAAGAGAGAGAGAAAAAAAAAAAAAGAAACGTGCCGTTCCGAAATAGATGAGATGCTCGCGGACTGTGAGGTCGTCGAAGAAAACGTTGGACTGCTGGCAGTAGCCCATGCTCTGACGTGCCTGGGCCGTGCTCTTGGTCACGTCGTAGCCACAGATCCGGGCCACCCCTCCGGACGGAGATGTAAGACCTGGCAGAAAAGACGAATATGCGTACTTAACTCAATTACAGCGCTTCCTCCCTTTTGTATTACTGTGATGTTTTCTCTGTTTTAAGCTATAAGTAGGGCTTGGGGCTACGGGACCTCATCAGGCATCTTGCCTTTAATTTCTTTTCAAAGTATATTACAATCATTTTTTTTAAATTTAGTTTATCCTTACAAGCAAAAAACTGGGTCTTCGCACATCAGTATCATAGTGCAAATTAGTTTATGGCTCAAAGCAGTTCCCGCCTGTTTCACAGAGCTACAATATTCCATAAAAAAAAATTGAAATATCTGTATACTGGTCCGCTCTTTCAGTTCTTCAGGAAGCTGCTCTGGTTATCTTTCTTATTTCCTTCACACGTGTGTCAGCACTCTGTGAGGTGTAATACTTCCTTCAAAAATACCTTCTACGTGACTAACAATTCGTTCCTTGAATTTGTACGAAAAAAAAAGTGTTGTGTTCATACTAGATAAGTCGAGTCATTCGCAGCCAATAAAAACGACGGGACGCGAACGACGACATCGTGTAATGCGCCGAAAAATTGAGGGAGAGGATAAGAGGAGAGCACGCGGGAACTTTCGGACGCCGCGCTCTGGTTCTAACGATTAGTGAGTAGACCTAAAGCTGCCTTTGTTTTTTCTGCGCTTGTCGAACACGTTCGAATGCGATAACCTAACGCAGGACGCCGGCGTTCCGCGTTGTAGAGCGTTCTACGAGTGCAGTGGAGACAAAGGCAGCTAGCTTTAGGCCTACTCATTGATCGTATCCAACCAGACGCTCGGCATTCTGACGTCACAGCACGCTTTCGTCTCATCATGTCCTTCAGTTGCTCGGCGCAAAACTTCAAACTTGGATTCAGAGTGCTGCTATTTCGTGACAACTTTCCCATGTGGGTTGTCTGCACGTCCAAACGGCTTGTCTGCACGTCCGAATGTGGCTTGTCTGCCCGCTTTGTCATGGACACACTTAAAAAGGAAAGGAAACCCAGCACGTGACGACCTACCCTTCTCGTCTTGTCCAGACTATAGATAATATGCATTTCCCTTGTTATTTTGTTTAACGAATTTGGAGTTCAATGAATGCCCAGTAAAACTGAAGATGGAACCCGAAAACCCAGTGGAAACCATGACAATCTGGAGAGCACGTTTGCTTCCTGCGCAGGTATTCCAGTGACGTCAGAACGCACCGAGCTCTGATTGGCTTTGATTGAAAGGGTAGTGGGGATACCTCAAGGCAGCTAGCATTGAGGTCTACCCGCTATTCTTTCAAGAGGGCCGATCGGAACTCGGCGTTCAGAGGCCACTGGAGCCCCTGTGCGAGAAGCAGACGAACTTGCGCTCCGCATAGCAAGATGGCGATCAGGAGGTAGATGTGCACCTGCGAAGATGTTCATGAGCGTCGTCTTGCCCGAACCGTTGTGGCCGAGGAGGACCGTGATCTGCCCTTCGTAGATGTTTAGGTTGATCTTATTTAGGGCCACCTCTCTGCCGAACACCTGTGAGCAGACGGTCTTCATTTCAAGAATGTTAGGGGACGAAGGCCTTCTCGACAACTGTGGTGTCGAGAAGGCCTTTGTCGTTTAGAGGTGTCGAGAGTCTCGAATGATTATGAGACCCTCAACACCCTAATAAACGCTTGGCGTGACGAGTCCTGACCATTTTACTATAGCTCCGCAACCGCATAAGCCGATATGAACGTCGAATAATACATCACGAAACAAGAATCCGGAACACAGTAAGCCATGCCCTATCTATCTTCATATAAGACATCTAAGAGTCTGCCTTCTAGCGTAGAATGCAGTGGAGCAATTACCAAGATCTACAAAGCGCGTGCAACAAGAGCCAAACGACTTCGACATTCCCCCTCCCCCCCCCCCTTTTTTTATTTTTGCGAGATCAACGTAAGACATTTGGTAAGCGGAACGTTATTGATTGAGATCGTAGCATTACCGGTTAAGACCAATCAGGAGCCAATCACGAACCCGCGAACATTAACCATGCGCCCTGACGTTCTGGAATTTTGAAACACGTTCATAGATCTCTTAACGTTGGTTGTGAGGGACTACTGAGTTTTACTGAATTATGCGTTATTAAATGCCTTGTGTATTGACAGTATTTTTTGTGTTTCAACAATGAATGCAATGTTGTTGTTTCTTTTTTTTTTTGCCTCTGTTGTGAGGTTTCTTATAATGCTTTGTAATGATTTGGTTGTTATAAATAATTGTGCAAACTGATTAGTTGTGGCCTCTGTTACATCCTTAAAGATGAAACAGAGCTGCAATGACCTAAAGCTTTGGTTGGCCCTAGTTCGTACATATCAATGAAAAGGTTAAAAGGCGCGAACTGAACAGAACGAAAAAAAGACACACGTACGACGAGGACAAGCGCCAATCAGGAGCGCGTGTCGTACGTGTCTTTTTTCGTCCTGTTAAGTTTGCGCCTTTTAACCTTTTAATCGAACTGAAATGACCTTTTGTTGTGTATGTCTTATGATTTCCAGTTATTTTTCTCGGAGATCTGTTTGTCTAAAATGCGCATGTAAGTGTCAGAGGTTGCCTCCTCTCCACTGTGTATGATTTTTTTCTTCTCTTCTTTATTGTATACATTGTGTGTGCTGCTGAAAACTGCGACGGGTAGAGACCTCTGCCAAGCAGAAATGCGTTTTGTCTCCACCTCCCTGCCGGGCTTGACCCGTGAAAGTTCCAATGAACTTCAAACTTCAAACTACTTAATGCGCTAAAAGTGCGCACCTTCGATAGATCTCGGGCGGACATCACGATCTTCATATCTTTGGGCAGAGGCTCGAAGACACCGTCTTCCCTGCCTGGCCCTTCCTCCTCATTGTCCATGGGAGCGACCAGGGACGGAATCCAGTAGCTGGGCTGTCAAGACGGGAGGAGATTGCTTCGACGGCTGTCCTTAGACAAAAGTGTGCGCGTGCATTCGTTTTTTGCGTGCTCATTCTTTCTGGCGGAAAGAAATTGCGCTTTCCAGTCACGACCAGTCGTTTCCCAAATGTTTGCCAGAGGTTAACCACCCGTGTCAACTTGATAATCGAATCAGCTATAGAAAACGACCCATTTGAGTGTAATTTTTATTCAAACCAACAAAGAAATCGTTTCCCACTAACAAGAGGAAATAAAGTCTTCGCCGTTTCTCGAGTAACCCTGGAGTCTGAGGCAGAACAGAGGAAAAACGGCAAGAGCTAGGTCCTGTTACCGTTTTAACTTTGTTTCCTCCAGTCTCAAGGTTACCATCATGTTCAATATACACAACCTCGCCTGCGCCCTAAGCATATTTGATTGTCAACATGATTCAGGACACTGCAGGTGTGACAACCGCGTGCGCAACGAAAACACCTAACTGGTCTGTGGTATACTGACAGTTCAAGCGCGACTGGGCGATGTCAATCACGGTCATCTTATCATCATCGGGCAACCAAACTTATAGAGCAGCATATAACCCGAACGAGAAATGAAATCACTCGGAACCAATCACCAAGAGACCAAACATATGCACACTGAAACGACCGGCGCATCGATGTAAATCCGACTACTCCGAACTGTGTGGCATCATGGCCTCCGAACTTCCCTGTGTTCAATCACGCATCAGCAAAATCAAAACATTTAGACGGAACGTACTATGCGCCTGTCGTTTTTCCGTCCATGTGCTTCGCCCAACACAGTCACTGACAAGGTAATAAACGCGGAAAGTGGCTAAGGTATTATGTTCACGCCCTTTACATCTTGATGTGTTCATCAGGGTGCTTATCGGACAACGCAGCATGCCTCATTGAGGGAGGAGCGAGAATAAGCGGACACTCAGGACATGCACCCCCCCCCCCCCCCCCCCCGGGTTCTTTAGGTTGTCAACGACTAGAGATAGGGCCCATTCACCCACTTGCGTCTGCATTGCACTAGAGTGAAAAAGTTGCGGTATTCGCAAGATCGAATGAACGTAGTATCTATCAGAAATATTCGTTTTTAACATCGTCCAACGATTTGTGCTTTTTTTTTTTAACCAAAAAGAAAGAATGACGCGCGAAAAAAAAAAATCACAAGTATTCCACGATTACACGATAGATGGCGCCAATGTGTTCTCTCGTCGCACAAGGTCCCAAGAGTTTTATACGCACTCGGTCAGCAGACCCGCAAGTGTGTGAACCAGCCCTTTTACTCTCTCTCCTTCCAGAGCTATTCCTCATTATGTACGGGAAGTTAACTTGCAGTCCAGTCACATCTACGAATTCGGGGGTTTGCCTAGTACTTGCACGCGACTCTTTAATTCATCGGCTTACCAGAAGCGGAAAGTAAAAGGGGCGTGGTGCGGAAGCCACCCAGGGCAGGACCCGCGACAGGTACCAGATGAGACAGACCAGAGCCAAGAAAATGGCACCCATTACACAGAGGATCTGCATAATGGTGACGTTATCCAGATCCAGTGCGTACTCGTTCACCATGCCCCACCCTGCGTAGCCTGCGAGAGAGAGAGAGAGAACCTGTATCACACTCCATAAAAAAAAGTATGTTATGGTCACTATGACGGCTGAATATCCACAAGGTATGGCCTGTTAAGATCGCGCTTCTTGATTAGTAATTGGTTCTTCGACGTTTTTACCGAATGATGCCGCAACCTTATTGGCTGCGAAGTGATAATAAGATGTTGTAGACTCGCCAAGCCCTGCGCTCTTTAGACTGTCAGTGACTACAGAACACAAAGACAGCCATTCACGGCGATCAACAGAAGATTTCCAAAGAATCACGAAGCACAGAATGCAATCTCAAATATGCGATGTTCGGCATGGACATCGAGCAAGCAAAACGTCATGCTCCTTATGTGCTCATGCTCACTGAAATCGCATGTTATATAGACTTCTATATAAGTCTATTGCTTTCATTCATACATGTGCCTTTGACCGTGAATCAAGTGTCATGATTAGAAAATAAGCACGATTTAGGTAAAATGCTAACCGTCGTAGTCCTGGAACAGGCTAAGTATCTTGAGCATCCAGTAGGTCCCGACGCAGGGGGTCATCGACGTGGCGAGCTTCTTCCATGGGCGAGCCAGAATGTAGCTGGCCAAGCCGCCTGTAAAACCTTCGATGTAGAACACGGGACCGACGAACGTCAGAACGAGCCAGTAGATGAGTCCGAATAGGGCAGTCATGGCGCCTGCAGAAAGGATTGCCAAGTCAGCAGGACTTCAGTCAAAAGAGACATTGTTGGAATTGTTTGATAAACGTTGCAAGAACACAGATATTGCTACGGACAAGGACAAATAGTGCTACGGAGAAGGATAAATAAACAAGGAACTGGCACTAGCGACAAGTACAAGTAGATAACGACAAAACCAAGTAGATAAAGACAAGTAGCACTATAGACAAGGAAAAGTAACAGCGTTATGGACAGGTCGCACCACGAACAACAGAGTAGCGATACATAAAAGGACAATGACAAGTGGCACTACGGACAATAGCAGCTTGTGTTTTAAAACGCCAGTTGCTGGTTAGCACTTGTCCTACTCATTTCCTCTACTTGTCCTTTTCTGAAGAGCTATTTGTGCTTATGTAGACACGCGTTTTTATTTCTGGTAAAACTCTCATAGTTTCAATCGATGCGATGTAACAGAGGGAGGCTCCGCAATCTACGACACCAAGAGAGAAAAAAAAAAAACAGGTAAGACCTAATATGTAGTTTTTTATTCAACACATTAATTATAGCAACGTGTCACGTGCCAGATTCCAAAGACTTTGCCACGCTTGTGTAAGCAAGCTTTTCGTATACAGTTTGTGACGAAGATGCGCGATCGAGAAAAAAGAAAGAAGACCGGGCAAGGAGAGGGTACGAGTATTCCCACGCCTTAACGAAGTCTCATTAAAAATCATAGTATGACGACCCACCACGCGCCGTCACACTTGGCGCACGAATGAGGACTCCGAAAATGAGGTAACTTTATGTGGGGACGACGAGCCTCACCCCATCGACCATCAAATTCCTTGCATCAACGAGGTGACTTTACTACCGCGTCAACACTGATAAACCAAGCCAACTCGGAAGGCGATGACGCGCCTCCGGAAGTTGAAGTTGAAGTCGTCGTTGCACAGTGCAAAAAACTTCAAAGGATCCTCTCTGAGAGAGACGAAGAAATTGGTCAGCTGAGGCAACGCATTTCGGAACTTCTTAGTCAACGGGAAACTTCCGCCATCTTGACGTCCGCCCACTCCGCAAGTGCTGCTGGAGAAAGTGCTTCTTTGAAAGCTGTGGAGATCCTGGTGTACGAATTACAATCCCCTGTAATCCAGAGGCTCAATCCAGAGGCTGCCCAGTGTCGCGGCTTGGAAGCCGCGACACTGGGCAGCAATTTTGAAAGCAGTAAAGAGGGATTTAACCAGCAGAGTCAGCGAAAAAAAGAGATCCAAGGAAAAGAAGGCCAACCGTCAACAGCTGCATCCTGAACATAAGACAGCGTACTGCACTTAAGCGACACTGCCAAAAAAAAAAGTGTCAAGGACTCTCCGGGACTAAAAAGCAATGTTTGCTCAGAGGCACTCTCCAACGGAAACGTACATAAAGAACGCCATCCAGAAGCTGCAGCTAATAGAGAAATGCCCCTTCGCGGAAAAGAAGCTGAAGAGTGTAAGCTGCTTCTTGAGTCCTTAAAATGACAAGGGGAAGGGGATGCATTCAGTAATTTCCCTACGCATTTCCTAGGGGAGTGTACACCCACCTTGTTTTTAAGAAGGCACCCCCTTAATTCGCAACGACTCCTCTATTCTCAATGCCCCCCTAACTCTCCGCACCCTCCCCCTAAAAATTTAGAGACCACCTAATTTCAATTCTTGGGAAAACCCCTGGATGCATTTTGACAGCAGCTTTGCATCCGTTGAGGTTTTGCTCGACTCCTTTATGGAGTTGGATAGGGCAAGCGGAAAGGTCAAGAATGCAGAAGCGAAAACTTTAAGAGTTTTGAATTCCCACGAGGATGCGAAAGATGAACTCTGTTATTTCGTCAAAACTGAGCGTCAACAGCTACCAAAAGAACCTCGTCAGAGACAAGCTGTTGTGTGTTCTCAGAATGACAAACCACGGCCAAGCCATACCCGCCAAAAACAATTCTATCGCCAGAAAGATACAGCCTCGACCACGATTCAACAGAGCTCCCGCCAGAAAGTTCTCAAACTTTGCCTGAATTGCCAGCAGAAAGGGCAGTTTATTACGTAGTGCCCATAGCCTTTGACGCAGGAATCCCTTGAATGGCAACGTGCATTTCAAACTGTGCCTAATGTTGCGAATTATCAGAAGAAAAACGGTATGGTGTCTTAAGGGTTTGCATGGAGACACCAGTAGCGCAGCGAATAAGCTGCAACCTGCGAGTGTTAAACGGGTTCCAGTCTTCATGGGATCCCTTCAGCGTCTCCATTCAAGCTGAAGAATGCGACTGCCGCACAAGAGATACCGCTCTTTTTCAGGAAGGTGATCGAAGTAATGTAGGGAGTTCCTACAAGCAAGGAAAGTAGCGAGGGCCTTAACGTGTCAAGCTCTAAAACAGCGATTGAATGGTACTCGTTGCAACTGCAGCCGACACGTGTCAACACAGGAACAAGTATTTTCAAACTTTCGGCGATAACTCTTCTCTGAGGACATCCAAAATCCCTGCGAAGGCGCCCTTGGGCATAGTCAAAAACATTGCGGCTGTCGAAACAATTTACTTATCTCCAGTGTTCCGGTTTTTCGGATCCATAAAACCAGGAGGGCGTTGCAATAGTTCGCAACGAAACCCAGCAAATAACAGCGGATGGTATGAGCTTCAACGTGAGAGCTTCACCAAATTTTTAGGAGCTGGAAGCAGTAAAAATTTGTTGGCGGAAAACCATTCTCGTCTTGCAAACAGACACTGCACAGTTGGCGTCTCGTAAGATAGAGAAGCATTATATTTCCACTGGTGATAAAAAACCAGTAGCCCACTATACCCAACACGAATTTCGTCCGCTCAAAAAGATCTGGTCAAGGCAACGATAAAAAATATGATGGATGCAAAAAACCAAAATCTCTGCCGTTTTTTCGCTGTTACGGCGCGGAGAAAATTTTTTTGCCATTTTTTGCGGTTACAAACAACGCCGGCTCCGCTCCAAGGGACAGTTAATACTTTCGCATTAATAATCCAATCCTCAAAAACCTCTGAGGCATCATCGCTCGGTCTGGTTCAAAAAGGAACAAGGCGACAAGAATGTCTATAGGAAGCCTCATGCGGTAACCGAAAACGCAATCTACCCGCTAATAAGAATTGATGATGGTCTTGCGGCATTGAGTCGAATCAAATACTTTTCGACGTTGGATTTCTTTCAGGATTATATCAAATAAAGATAAACCTGACGACACTGTTCAGACAACTTTTGTTACGCCCGGGGGAGGGGGGGGGGGGGGGCTGTATCTGAACAGATAAGGCACGATTATGGTCTTGTAAAATAGGCAAGCATTCTATTCCCACTGGTGACGTAAAATCAATAGCCCAGTACCCAAGACATATTTAGCCTGCTTAAAAAGATCTTGTCAATGCAATGAGAAAAGATATGATGGATACAAAATGACTCTCTTAAAGCTCCTGGGCATCCCACTCGTTCTGCTTAAAAAAAAGGTCAAGTCGACAAGAATGTGTGCAGGCTATAGGAAGCTCCATGCAGTAATCAAAAATGTCATCTACCCCTAATTTATAATGCTCTTGCGGTATTAAGTGAAAGCAAATGACTTTTCAAAGTTTGGACCTTCTTAGGATTCTATCAAAAAGAGATGGACCCTAACGAGGCTACTAAGATAGCTTTTGTTGTGCAGAATGGGCTGCGTGACTTTCGGAGAAGGCCGTTCGGGTTGAAAGGAGCGCCTGCGACGTGTCAGCGAACAGTAAACGCCATTATTTGTGACCTAAAGTACCGCAACTCATTGGTCAACATGCATGACTGCACTGTCTATAGCACTACGTTTCAGGAGCACCTCCGAAAACTCAGAAATGTTTTTGCACATTTTGAGGCACCAAATCTCAAAATCAAGTCTCAAAAATGTTGTTGTTGTTTTTTTCGTAGGAGAGTTGCTTTCATTTGACATATTGTCTCCCAGAAAGGCATTGCAACCGGCCCAGAAAAGCTTGACGCCGTAAGGCGATTTCCTGTTCCTCAAACAGCAGCTGAAGTTCAGTCGTTCTTAGGATTGACGTCATATTTCCGATTTTTTTTTTTTAATCATAGCGCCACTGCGCAGCTTCCTGAGACAGCCCCTGGAAAAAAAATGGAGCCTTCCCGTGGGGTGCTCCCTAAGAACACACCATCCATGAACTGAAATCTGTGTTGCGCAAGCCTAGTGTCTTGAAGTATTTTTTCCAAATATCTAAAATACGGCCTCCAGGTCCACACCGATGCTTCCAGAGTTGAACTCGGCGCCATAACGTTCCTCCAGGAAAACAAAACCGGAAACTACTGGCATCTCATGCACCTCAGCCGTTCTCTTCATGGAGCAGAAAATAACTACACTTCCATTGAACTCGAAGCTTTTGCGGTTAATTGGTTCTTGGAGCAGTTACGTCCTTACTTAATGGGCAGAAAGTTCCAGGTCGTTACGGATCATCACGCGCTATGCTGGGTTCTTCGCTACAAAAAGGAAAACCAGCGCTTCCTGAGGTGGTTTCTTCTGCAGCAAGGATTCGACTTTGAATTTGTGTACAGGTCTGGCGCATCTCACACTGCCCCTGACTGTCTGGCTCATGCTACAAGTAACAACTGCTCCGAAATAACCTCCCACATGCAACGTGTTTTCAGTCACAATGCCAGCTTTAAGCACCAAACAGAATGAGGACCCGTTCTGTGCAAATATCAAAGGAATTGCGCAGAAAGGGCTGGTACAAAGAAGCAGCAAAAAAGAGTCAGTGATAACTTTGTACTTAAAAAAGATGCGGTACCAGCTCACGAACAATTTCTTTTATGCCTGCCAAAAACAAAACGACTAGAAACACTTCACGAATTTCGTGGAACACAGTTTAGAGCGCACATGGGGATCCGACAGACTTACGTGAAAATCCACATTAAATATTTTATCCTCGACTGTACTTGGATGTCCAACGGTTTGTGAAAGGCTGTAACCTTTGCCAGCGCATAAAAGTGGCTATGACGTGTCCCAAGATTCCTGCAGCCAATGGAAGTCGATGTGGAATTTTACACAGTCGGATTTGACATACTTGGACCGTTCCACGTCTTCCGAAGGTACAAGGAGTTTGTCATAGTCGCTATAGACTACCTCACGAAATTGTTTAGGCGAAGGTCGTTCGTAACATAAAGGCTTCCACGCTGCAGAAGTTCATAGAAAGAACAATTATGCTCAAGCACGGATGCCCCGCAGTAAAAGTTACTGACGGGGTTCAAAATAACTGCCAGATCGACACCTGACTATCTTATGCACTGTGGTGTACTCCGCGCAACAAGTGAGGCAAATCACCAGGCTGCCAACGGCCCGTTGAGCGAGACAAGAAAACATTATATTGAAACATAGGATGCGAATCACCACCTCTACTGGAGAGAAGCGGGCTGATGATCTGCCTTATGTGGGACTTTGCTGCAACACCGGACACCAAGACACAATTGGAACTTCATTATTTTTTCTTGCTCTATGGGTGCGATCCCGCTTTCCCTTTGGATTTGGTTTACAACACGAAGGAGCTGTAAGAACTGCAAGTAGGCTCCTAATACGTGGTGCTCGTGCGTGAGCACTTGAACCATGTAGGTTGGCTGCATGACACATCGGATGGCTCAGGCGAAAAAGGAGAAAACGATATGACAGACATCGAACTTATATAACGTTAGAACGAGACCAGTTAATGTTGTTGAAGTCCCCGCCAGCGAGCCTTAAAAAACGGCCGGTGTGCACCGGGCCTCATCGTGTTGCCCTCAAGCTATCACCGATGAACTATAAGAGTTCGGAGATAGTTCAGGGCGGAGGTTGTGCGCGTCGAGAAATTGAAACCGTATCTGGAAGCTCTCGCGGAATTTTCGCCTCCCTAGAACTGTTGCGTTTTATGTGTGCCTTAGGTGTCTAGGTGGGACAACTCGTGCGTTGTGTGTACATAACGGTATCGTTATGCTATTTTCTTTGCGTAATGTATACACCTGGTTGATGTCTTTTTGAGCGGCGGCTAGTGACGAAGGTGCGAGACCGAGAGAAAACAAAGAAGATCGGGCATGTAGATGAAACTAGTATGCCTCAATGAAGTCTGATGAAAATACATATCTTGGCGACCCAACAAGCGTCGCCACACAGTTCGTGCTGTTATGCGTAAACATTATTCCATATGGCACATCTTTTATTATTACACAATATGTACTGGTGACGTCCAAGTATCCTAAGTAAGCTTACCACTCTTGAAGATGACAGAAATGAGCATGGCGTGGAGAGTTTGCATGCAGCAGAATACGAGGAATACCACAGCCAACAGCAGCAGGTTCACGTTCTCGAAGTAAGAGTGAGTGCCGGTTTGCGTATCTTTTAGAATGGTTAGGCAGCCGATCGCGATGATGCTGTCCACGATCAAGAACAGCATGCTGGAGCTGAAGAGCCCCATCCAGTAGGCGAAATCGGACAGACCCATCAGCAATTGCAACTCCTGGAAAAGAGTTGCGAGGCAAGCTTTTACTGTTAAATACGTGTTGACGACTACATTCGCGCAAAAAGTACACTCGAATGTCGGCCTGATGCTGCCGAAGTAACAAGCAACGGGGCTATTATATGAGCACGAGCACATCAGGAATGGAACAGCACCCGGTGGAAGGAAGCAGGAGGCAGAAACTCGCCGAAGACACTTAAGATTGCTTACGCGTAGGAATGCGAAAGCATTCCTACACGCAGCGTATCCATACAAGCAGCGCACCACGTCTTCCTTCCGCACACGGCGCTCCAGCGGTGACGTCACGTTCCCCTACTGCGCAGGCGCGGCTAACCCCGCCGGCCTCACGACGGCTTCCGTGACAAAGCATCTACGTTGCTGTGGTTTTCTTTGTGTTTTATTTCTGAGGCGCGTTCGCTTTGACCTTGAGCGCCTCCGCCGGCTACCGTGAAAAAGCACTCCGTGGCTGTGCTTTTCTTTGTGGTTTATTTCTGAGGCGCGTGCTTGATGACGTATTTATATGGCCATCTTTCGGGGACAACGCCGGCGGCTTTTCGCGTAGTGGGACAAGTGAGGTTTTCGCCATAAAATTATTTTAAACACGGGAGAGTAGAGTAAAGGTTTTTATGCGTATGGTTGACAATAATAAAATAAGTTCTCAAGCACTTCTCACTTTGATGGCGGCAGAGTTCTCTTGCACCATAGTATTGAGCCGAATGCAGAACGGGATAAGGTACCCCAGTGCCAGCACGTAGGAGATGTTCTTTCGGTATAAGGGTACCTCTTTAGGAAGCGGCGGGTGCGGGAACCTCTTCACAAACACCTGATGAAAAGGGGGAAAAAAGTATGAATCTTTTGCGAAACCGTCGAGACTGAAGTTTCCATTACTGAACTGCAAGACGGTTTACGTACGACACTGCAAACTAGTATCTTGCATTTAAAATAAATAAAGCGACACAAAACAAGATGACTCTGCATATTATCTACCAGGAAAAGGAAGCTGAGACACTAAACTCACTCTGTTTTTAAACAAAATTATATTGTTAATTTTTAATAAAAGACGATCGGCCGACATTTTTTTTTTCTTCCTTTAAGCATTTTCAGTCTACAATTTCATGTCAGAGTTCAACTAGAGCGACGATTAGAAACAACCGACACCGACAAGCCTCAAACATGTGACGCAAAAGTTAGCAGAAAACACCGAAGCCGTGAAACTTCTGCCGGAGAGCCGTGAGATAGAAAGTAAGTTTATATAAAAGTTAGGTCAGAGCCGCACTCATCCAGCCATGTGACTACGGGTGACAGACGCATCACGCGTGAGTACTTTCTTCTTGCCCGAAGTGGCGCAAGGCTGTTTTAATCGGTTCATGATTACTTAGTCAATTTGCAGAGCAGCGAATCTTTCATATAAATTTGAAAGTGGTCGGTGTTGACTTCGGAGGCTAAGATGCTTGAAACAACCTTAAAACTGAACTTCCAACTCCGCTTGAGTACCCAATGGATGTATGGTCTGAATCAGCTGTCAACTCAAAAGTATCTGCGTGACCTTGTAAGGCATTGCATCCACGATTCTTATATTTGCGCTAACGCCTCTCCGGGCAGTGGTTTCGGAAATATCATCTCTTTCACCGCTGTGCTTGCTTAGACCATTCACAGAGAAGGCCCCAGGTGTGTCTACAGCAGGTGGACATAAGAGCGGGTATTACCTGTGGCTCTTGAAAGTTGGTCGTATTTTCTTGAAGTTTAACAAATGCACTCTCGATCATTTGCATCACTTCCTCAGTTGGATCTGAGAACAAAAATACGGTTGAATACTAATGAAAGACGCTGTTGAAGGCCAGCGACAACGGGCAACACTATCCTCCCAAAAAGAAATGATTACTTCATTACTTCTGACTTGTTGCTAAAATGCTTTGGCACCACGGAGCAACCTATAGGGAAACCCTGGAACACTTTCGATTTTCGTATAAACAAACTGAAGGTTTTGTAGAATTCACGATATCAAATCTGTGCAGTATCTATGAGAAACGGCGACTTGTAACATTGTCACAATTATTTCAAAAACATGTTAAAAGAGTGTTTCGTAAACAAAAAAAAAAGATTCAAGAACATACTAGGTGCATCGGAAGTATTCCAGTGCTACACGATAATTGATACGTGTTATTCCCGTTTGGAGTAAAGGCCCGTGCACACAATTGCTTTTGCTTACGACCGAGTTCTTGTGATCGCTCACAACGAGAGAAGACCTTGGCACTTTGGCGGCATCTATGTGGTGACACTGGAATTGAGTCTCACTAGATCGAAGGTATTGAGGTATTTGCGGGATCGAACGTACGTACCATCTATGAGAAATTGTCCTTTATAACATCCTAAAAAGTCCTTCGAGCCAGAAAAAAGAAATGAACGATGCGCGAAAAAAGTAGATAATATATGGAAATGCCAAGTGTTCCACGGCAACCAGATAGATGGCGCTAGTGTGTTATCTCGTCGTAAACGGTCGCGAGTGTGTGAACCAGCCAGTGGCGGATCCAAGGGGGGGGGGGGGGGGGGGGGGGGGGGGGCGGTGGGGGCGATCGCCCCCCCCAAACGCCTCGCCATTTTTTTTTTTTTGTGGAGCCATTGTTTTTCTCATTTTTTGTCTCTTTGCTCGCTTTTGAAGCACATCCCTTGGTACGCCAAAAAGTGTGGCGGCAACGCGAAGGGAGTGACGCTGTTGCTTCACTTTCAAGAGCATTCGTAGTGTTACTTATACGCCATGAAGCCCCTGTTGTCTTTCTTTTGTACGTTTTGATCCTCCTAGACACCGAGAGGAAAATATGACTCAGGAACAACCGGGAAACTGGTACATTATTGACACACGCGTCATACAATGCCACATTGTCGCGTTTTGTCTCGCGCGTATCCCGTTACGTGAATAATTATTTCCGTAAAACAAAGCACTCTGAACACTCAAATTTGTTCTGCATGCAGCGAATAAAACTTAGGAATGAAATTATATTATACCTTTGTAGAAAGTCCGTGCCAACCGGGGCGTACTTCTCGAAGCGAAATCTCGCGCGGAATTATGCACCTCTTTGACGGGCGGTCAACTCGGCAATCTCAAATCGGCATTTCTTTTTCTCCGGAAAGGACTTGCCAAAGGCAGTCATTTATGGCTCACGCAAAGTGAACAGGCTAAGGCACGTCTCAGAGAAGCTTGAAACTTGTGTCTAGGTGATAGCTGGCACTAAACAAAAACTTTCGTTGGGTGCCTTCACTCCAACTGTCGCATTTTGCCCCGCGTCTCATTTGGCCCATCTTACCGTACTTCACTTTGGACAAACGCGATCTATTAGTTTTGGAGCTTCCCCCACACGAGTGTTCCGTGCGGTCGAGGTGTTTTTTGACGTATCAGTAGTAGTAACCAGGCATTGTGCGCAGCTTTTATCGGCGCCCAGCATGCTCGGGCTCACAAGCGCTTAGCTTCGAAAGCATAGATTGTAAAAAGTAACCGTCAAATTCACGGCGCTATACGCTAATAAAAACTACAAGTACGCCGTGAAGAGGAATTATCTGAAATGCACCGTAAACGAGCAAAAAAACCGAGAGAGAAACGCAAAACTTCATGGAGCAAGAAAACAGAAAGAAAAGACGCGCTTCGCTAATTGGTCACCACGCTTGACCTTTCGGAAGCTGCGGGAACCCAGAGAGTCTCCTCTCGCCCCTTCACCTCCTTTCTTCGTCCGCGCCAGCCGCGCCAACGCAGAACGTAACTGCCTTAACTGAAAAAAGAAAATAAAAGAGAACTAAGAGCAAACAGTAGAGCAACAATGCGACGAGCTAGAAGCATAAACAAAAGAAAGGAACGTTGGTTGGGACAACGCGGAAAGAAGTGGAAAAAGCTGACGTTCAGTTCATTTTCCCGCCTTCCCACCCGTCTCCGCGCCATTTTGTCCTCGTTCGTTTGTGGCATTCCCGGATTTTTGTGCACCTGAAAATGTGGAGCGGAAGGCAACTGGATACTCGAGGCAGGTATTTCACTATCAATCTGCTGCTTGATTGACAAGGATAGTGTAATGGTGGCATAAATACAACACTCTAAAAGATGTTTACTTGCAGAATTTGTAGTTTCTGTTCAAGCACGCTTGATGGTTGTGCAATTCGATGAGCACGTTTTCAGCTCTCGAATTCTTCAGTGTGTGGACGAAGGATGCTGTCGCAAGTTTGTTACGTAGGATGCTCTCAGGTATCATATTTTGAGAAGACATAGGCATTGGTACGCCTAAGGGAAGTTTGGTTTGTTTCGAGAAGTTTGGAAAGCTTTCAGTGCACTTTGCCACGGGAGGCACTCACTTGATCGAATGACGTTTTAGCGAACGCCCACGTTTCATCGAACGACACTTTAGCGAATAGTCGGACGCCGCGAAGCGGCGTTTTCGGGTGGGCCAAATGAGTTCATATTTTTGTAATGAGTTGCCGCAGACTGTCGCCGCGAAGCGGCGTAAAGCGCAGCGCGGCGGATGGGTTAACGCGCGCCCCCGTTATTCGCTAAAACAACCATTCGCTCAAATGTCGCCGTTCGCTAAAATGTCATTCGCTCTTGTGATATGGACCCCTTTGCCACCATGCCTAGAGGAGTGCCACACAAGGGAGGCTTTGCTAAAACATCTAAAAGGCCACATCACCGACAGTATTTTGTTTTCGTGTTCGTGCTCCAACTGTCAGAAGGTGTGAAATCATAGTTCGATCACGGCACATTTGAACTGGGCGCATTTACGAGTGACGGGTTTCTTGGGCGACGGCGCATCGCCTGCAGGCCCGCTTCAAGTTGAGGACTCTTCGGCTCGGTCCACTAGTGCGGATTCTAATGAAGACGGTGCTGTTAACGTGATGCAATCCCCTAATGATAACTACGACGTGTTAATGTCTCTGTCTGCAGGAGAAAAAAGGAAGGCCGTAAAATACGACCTTGTTTTTTTTGTTTTTTTTTTTTTTTTTCTATCTGA